TACCTGTAAGTGGAAGTGATAGAGGCAAAGAGAGAGATGGATGCCGAGTGTCCTATCTGTCTCTTTCTAGTCACGCGCTGGGATTGGCTGCCGCGCGAACGACGATATAGCTATACATTTTTCTCCATCCAATTCAAAGAAACTGTCATTGCTAAAATGATCACTGCAAATATATGCTGTTTTCACTTCAAAATACAAAGGTAGTTTTGAAGTATATTCAACCATTTACGCCTTATATCTACATCCTTCGGTAGCCTACAATATTTACATATTTTTTTAAATGTATGAAAAAATAACATATAATTATTTGAGGTTACGTATTTGTACTTTCTTACGAGTGAAAACTGCGGTTACATCCAGGATAAGACTCCGCCTTGCATTTCAAACAATGCCTCATTTTTAAACAAATCGCGTCCAATTATTATTTTGTTAACGTTCGAATATTTAACGAATTTTAATTCTACACACATGTGCACGCATATTTACAAAACGAAATTTTAGTCTGCTTTCTCCCCTCCTGACGTCGCGTGGTCGTCTTGGCGGCTCATTGTAACAACCAATCACAGCGCTCAACTAGAAAGAGACAGATAGGACACTCGGCATCCATCTCTCTCTTTGCTTCTATCACTTCCACTTACAGGCTTGTTCCCTCTATTCTTATATCTCTATGAGTGAAGGTGTACGGTTTTACATAGCCGCGTCGCGTGAACTCGCTCGCGTGAAAGCGCCACGCTGGCGCCTCGTAGCGGCGCTCGGCGCGGCGCAGTTTGGTTCGCGCTGCTCGTACACAAGAAAGTCAGCGCCTGGTAGCGCTGCTATCTTTACGGCATCAGCCGGGACGAGGACCTCTTAGGTGTCTTGTTACAACACAAATTGATACTCAGCAAACACGTAGTTACAGTTATACAGAGTGTCTGATATGTTTCGTACATCAGCTCCTTTGCTGATAAAAGGAGTTAAATTGATAAAAAAAGTAGACATCATTATGCAAAATTCGTAATAGTTAAAGAAGAATTAATTATTCTGTTTGTGTTAATGTGTGTACGAGAAGCGGTAGACCGAACATATATAAAGAAAGATATCTTCGACCGCGTGCGCGACCGCTTGCGTGACACTTAGTTCAGACAGAATAATTAATTTCTCGTTAATTATTGCAAATTTTGCATTTTAATGGTGTCTATATTTTTTATCAGTTTAACCCTTTCTATCTACACACAAGCGGATGTCCGAAACATACCGGACACCCTGTATAACTATTAGTTATAATTTTCTACTCGAGAACTGTTATATAACAATTACATTGTTAAGTAGGAAATTACATCTAACAGTTATGTAACTGCAAATTGGGATTTGTTGGGTAATTATCTAAAATTTAAATTTAGGAATTAATTACATTGGATGTTGAATTTCGTAAATCTGACACCGGATTAGAAATAATGGACTCCCAAAACTCTTTGAAATATATTCAATTTATTTATGCTAATGCCGAGATCCTTTAGTCTATTAAAGGGCTAAATTCCTGCTTTCAAAAGTTCATAATTTCTAATTGGTATATCTCGACGAGAAAAAATCGTTGGTAAATAAAAATTGATTTTGAAGATAAAAAATAGTATTATAGGAAGCCGCCAATAAAAATATAGGACATAATTTGCTTCCTCTATAATACTTTCTTAAATATATATAAAATAATAATCATTTTTGGACAAGCCTATCCAAATATTTTCATGAATATAGCCAAAATAACTATTTTAACTCATTTATCTAAAAAGTCTGATGTTGTAGGCAATTTCTTCTGACAAATTCGTATTTAGCGCACAAAATTACGTAGGAAACCATGTATAATTCTCAAACAATTTTTAACAACCTTAATTTTGCAGGTCTGTGTTATTTCAGTTCGTCAATACGTTACGTCATGGCGACATGCAAAAGACATCATATATTTTGCGATTTTTTGACCTAAATAGCGTGTCTTTTATACAGGGTGGGCCAGCTAAATAGGGATTAACACTTTGCGGTCCGTCGATGGCATGATGCCGTTGTTGCAGTCCGTTGACGGCACTCTGCCGTCGTGATCTGACAATACTGGTTTTATCGATAAATCGAAACATATGCGGTTTTAAGCAATTGACAATATGCGAAACAGATGAATAGCGATTTGTAGCTATCTAAACAAATGACGATGGCTCCAAATATTAGGATTGTTCTTTCGGAGCTAGTCTTTCGATTCTAGTCGATCGACAGATCTTAGCAGTGTAAACGTTATTGTGAGCTGACGAAAAGCAAGAAATGTTATCTAACACAGATTTTTCTTCAGATAAAGAAATTCTAGATGTAGAAGGTAAATACGCCTTTTACAGTCATTGATTTATTATTTATCAATCATACACGTGTTCTCTAGTTGTATTTGTTTATTTATCTACTGGTTGGTTTCGTATTATGCCGTATTTTATATTATTTTGTTTCATATTATATGGGCATATATGTATTGCCGATATTTCGTCGACGTGTCGGGAGACGAATCTCGTCAGAATCATCAGACGATGAGAATATTAATTTATATCCGCGGAGAAAAAACAATATTTGCAAGCACACGTAAACGAGAAGAGAAGTATGTTTTCTATTCTTTCATTAATCCTCTTGACATAATTTATGCGCTTAAAAAATTTATTATATCTGCGTTTGACTTTTTTCCAGCTCAAAATAGACCATGATTTTGATGGTCTCAAATCTATTGTAATCTTATCTTTATTACAGTAGCGCTTGCCCGAAGTCCGTCTGCTTCCCGAAATGGAAAAAAGGGGGGTTTGCAATACCCGAGATACCCAGGACGTAACACTTGCATATTTTGTTTATGTGACATTTTCTGTAAACTTTCATTCTATATATCCGCTTCCTGCCTCGATCACCGCCTCAATCATCAGCCTGAGACGAAAACATGCTCTCTGCATTTAGTCTTGGTCTATGTCTGTGGCTCGTGTGAGCGAGTGCGCCGTTTTGTTGAAATATGTACAGATTTTCTGAGGCTATATTTTCTATCCCGGACTTTAATACCGTCAATAAAACCTGCACGTGCACCTCTTTTGTGACCCTTTCACCTTTCTCAAAGAAATGAGGCGGCATGACGTCATCATCACTGGAGACGACGTCGATCACGTGGACGCTCGCTAGAAACTTTGTCCTGGCTGCAACAGGGATATCCTCGGGGTCTTGGGCGAGCCAACAGTCGTTCCTACCATTCATCTTGGAACGCACAGTGAAGATCTTTTCATCTGAAAAAAATCTGAGACGTCCAAATTCTTCGTTCTTGAACGAACACAGCAACAAGCGGCAGCGGATAACTCTCTTGATCTTGGCATTTTTCGAAAGCATTTCTCGCACTTTAATGACGTAAGATGAGTATCTCAGGTCCTCCTCAGCAATTCTTCGCATGGTGGTATTGCTCACACCCAAGAACGAAGCCAATTTTCGAAGCGATATCCCAGGATATCTTTGAAATCAAATCCTGGGTTTTTTCCAATATCTCAGGGATCCTTGATGTCTTTTCACGTGAATGTTTCTTTCTTACCGGATTACAGGGACGTTCCTCGGATTGCTTAGAAGCCGAAAACTTTTGAGTTACCCGGGAGACAATCGATTTCGGATAACCGAAGAATCTCATAATCTCAGGTGGCGTAAGCCCAGCGCGAAGACTTTCGATTCGATTCTTCGGTTAAGCTCCAAATTTGTTTGTGTTGACTCGGCTATTTTTACTTCACAACTTTATAGATGGGTGTGCATTACTTTAACGCCAGCTAGCGTTTACCGGGGAAGTTAAAATCAGCGAGAAATTCAAATTTAAATTAGTTCCAATTTAACTGGCGCACCCCGTTTTGTGCTGGCAAAGTTTTTAGAATCTCCTAGCAGTGGTAAGTGTTAATTTATTTCGGGAGGCAGAATAACGCAGGGAGTAACGAGCGGTGTGAGACACAAGCTGTATTACTCTGTCTCCAGAAAAGAATTGTCCCTTATCGTTGCTAAAAAATCCTAAGAAATAGATCATTTTTCTTACATGCTCAAAGCCATTTTTCTTTGAAAATATATACAGAGTCTAGCCAACTGTTTCCTATGCGCTTATTCGCTCAGACAGATTAATTAATTACTCATTATCTATTGCAAATTTGGCCAAATAATACATAATTTTCCTACAGAGTTTACGTCGTTCTACTTCTACATGACCACTCTGTCAAAATTTGTTGGATACCTAGTATATATGTACAGAGTACTTGTAGTTTTATTTGTTCAAACTGAAGAAGGTTTATAATAAACTAAATCATTTTTGTACATTACAATATATTCTAAAAAAATTGTAAATTGTAAAAATATTAATAATATTTTTAATAAAGTATTATATTCTAACACCAGCGGTTATTTGTACAGGTTACGTATTAATATTTATTTTAACTATAGGTGACATACATATATTTTTTAAAATTAGGGGTATAGATTTCATTTGATTTAATATTAATTAACTCAAATAGCATATCGCGTGGGAAAACAGATACGGAATTACGCCAATCCAGTCGTTTATTCGAACGTCATTTCATTCGTTTACGATTTCTATCTTACTCGTGGGTTATGTTGCGATAATATAAAGCGAGTTCACTCTCACTCATGATCCGATGTTGCGACCAAGAAATCTAGTTGCATCAACGATAATTGTCGTGGCGATATTTATGCATCTTTCGAAGTCTCGAGAAACATTCATCTTCTTTCTTACCTGCGTTTCTCAAGTTTCTCTTGTGGATCAGCTGGTGTTGAGATTATAAATTTATTTTATAAATTTTGTAAAATAAAACATTGTTACATTTATATAAAATTATCTTTTCAGTCACAGAGTATAGACATACACAGAGTATTTATTGCTTTGTTGATGAGAAAACAATTAGTGAAACTTATACTTCATTTAAAAATCCACTCGTGAAATAATCAAAATATAAAGAAAATTTTCGTTTCGTTCACAGGAATCTGTCGAATCAAAAGATTCTCAGCAAAACCTCTCTATGCCGACAAAGAAGGAGGCTGATGCAGATACCAAGGATATAAAAGTCCAAGGAGAAAGAGAGAACAGTTCGAAATCTGACAGCGAGAACGGTGACCACGATGATGACGATGACGATTACGATGACGACGAGTTCCCTCCCGTGCATATTAAACTTCCTCTTCAGTTGGATCTCGACGATATTGCAGGTGTAAGTAGACTTTAAACTGTAAGATAGTAAAAACTTTTATATTAAATTTAACACATTTTACATGTTTCAAAACAATCAACTCAAATTTTTGTATAGATTTAACACGAGGAACGAGGATGGATAAAATATAAACGAGCCTTTTGCAAAAAAAAACATATATTTTCCAAAATCAATTCTAATTTATATTTTTCTTATTTTTCTACATAGTCCACCATCTTATCTATACACTTCCTCCAACGGTCTGGTAATTTTTTAATCCCGGCATCATAAATAGTTCGCGGACGTGCATCAAACCAATTGCACATGAACTGCTGCACCTCATCGTTCGTTGCGAAGCACTGCCCACCAAGGGCTTCCTTGAGTGGCCCAAATATATGGAAGTCGCATGGTGACAGGTCTGGGCTGTAGGGTGGATGTTCTAGGACAGCCCAGTACATATCGGCCAAGTTTTGCTAATTTCTGTATTCAGCAATTTTGAAACCCAACGAGCCGATACATTTTGAAATCCCAACTCACTGCGAATGATTGATTGCACACTTCCGTAGCTGATCTGAAGTTCCTGAGAGATTTCAAGAACAGTTAAGTGCCGATCGCCTTCGATGAGTTCTCGAACAGCCTCGGTGTTCTGCGCTGTGATGCTGGTGCGGGGACGGCGAGGGTGGGCGATTTTTTCAACACGCTCCCGTCCTTTCTTAAATTCGTTACACCACTGCTTCACCCGAGCCTATGAAAGGGTTCTTTCCCCGAACTGTGGGAGTAAACTGCGCCGAATTTCAGCAACATTTACATTTTCGTTGACGAGAAACTTAATAATAACACGTTGTGCAAGTGTGGGGTGTACCTCTTTCTCGCTCATCGTGATTGCTGCTGAGAGTAAAAAGCACGTGGCGCGCCAACATTATTACTGCTTTCCACATAACTCTCCTCTACTGTCCAAAACGTTGTAGACCTCTCACGTCGCCGACGGGCGCGCAATTTAAAAAGGCTCGTTTATATTTGATCCACCTCCGTAAATATGTTAAGAAATATCATAAATAATATATAAAATTAATATAAACAATTTAACACTTTAACAATATTTATAAACATATTTTACATAAAAATAACATATTTATAATGTTATATTTAACTAAAGGAAAATTATATTTTACATTTTTTCGATTACACGGATATATAGAGTAGTCAGCAAATCCGGATACGATTGAATATTTCCAAAACAATGTATTTTTGAAAAATAGTTTCATACAAAAGTAGTAGGTTTTAGTGACTACATAGTAGTATTAATATGACCTCAAATAGCGTTCACATCAAGATCAAGTGAAAATCACTTTTAATTTTTTTAACAGAAACTCTCATTTTTCATTAGATATTTTTTCAACTTAGCTCGAAAGTTTTTCAAACCATTATAACAAAGTATTTTTCCGTTAAATTTTTGAGTTCTAAGGCTTTCCGAGTTAGAAAGCTTTATAATATCGCTGTCATTAAAGTTATCCTAAGATATACGTGAAAGTTGCACAGTCAGATTTACATCTCTCTTATGTGCGCGCGTGCGTGCGCGCGCGCGCATGTTTGTGTGAATGTGTGTGCGTGTGCATGTGTGGTGTGTATGTTACGAGAGACAAGCATTTCAAGGATTACGAGCCAAATATAAACAATGTTGCAGTAATCAAATTGCAACTAAAGAAATCCTACTTTGCGAGTTATTTTGTCTTTCACTATGGCCCGTGCGGTGGCAAAATAAATCGTACAACAAGAGTTTAAAAACGAAACATAAAATGTTAGCAATGAGTGTTCTTGAACATGCTAAATGAGCGAGAAAGAACTACGTTGCTTTTATATGGTGCGAGGATATGGTGACAAAGTGAAGTTTTATCAAGTAGCTAATCTATTCAATGAAACTTCCTGATCGATATTGCAAAATACACTGTTCAAAAAACATTAGAGCATTTTGACGGGAAGTGTGAAAGAAATTTCCACATAGTGGAAGATCAAGGAGTGCAATAAATGAGGATAAGAATTTAAACATTTTGCTTTCAGTAATTGAAATTGTTCTTTCATTATTATCAAAATTAATACAAGCAAATAATGAATAAAACTTTATTACTCAAAATCTTACAAAATAATCACTTTCATTCTTATTAAATTTTTGCTACACAAGAACTAATTGAAAAAAATTGTGACAGAAGGATGGAGTTCGTTAATGAAATAATTGTTTGATACGATCTGAATCCGACTTTTCTTTATTTTATAATTTTTCTGATGAGGCTATGTTTCAACTAAATAATAAACATTGTAGATGTTGGAATGATGTAAAACTCCATTGGATGACAGATCTTCGTGTACAATATCCTTAAAAATTGAAAATATAGGATTGTGCAGACGTAGTGTCATTGATCCTTCTTTTCCTGATTTTGAAATTTGAATGCAGAAAGTAATCTATATTTGTTGAGGCATCAAGTTGTGCCTGCCATCTAAAACTTGTATTCTGACAATAACCCAGTCAGAAATGATTCCTCGAAAAGATGTTTTGACATCGAAAATGAAAATCGAAAATTTTCAAAATATCTATTAATTTCAATGGATTTCTGACCCCAATTTTGAGTAATTTCAGACTTCGAATTACGATCTTAAATCGAACTTCTAAATTGATATTGGAATCGTGTATATGATGTTATTCTTTATCTCTTAGCAAGAAATGACTCGTCGATCGACGTCGAAACGATGTCGAATCGATGTCGAAATTATCAAATTGATGTCAATTCAACATCGATTCGACATTGTTTCGATGTCGATTTTTGACCGATTATTATTTTTCAGACCGATTTATATGCATATCCCTTTCCAAATAAGAGGCTAAGGTCTAAAAACACCAATAAAATATTATCGATAATACACTCGTTATTAATAATGAATTCAGTTGCACTAGTGTGTACTGAATGCGCACTAATGGCTCCTGCCCACAGGACGTAGTAACGCTTGTAGCGCGGCAATAAGCGACGCGATATCCAATCAATTTGATGCTTTCCGTAAGAGCTAGAAACTGATTATGAGTGGCCTGGCGTTATCCTGATGGAACACAATTCCTCTCCTATTGGCGAAAGCTGGCCGCTTCTGGGCGATTGCTTCCTTCAGACGGTCCAATTGTTGACAGTACAGGTCCGAATTAAGAGTTTGGCCGTAGGGGAGCAGCTCATAGTAGGTGCTCACGGTGCTTACATGACGGTCGGACTCGACGATTTCCATTATTTTATCAACATTTTCGACAATTGGCCTCCCGGAGCGTGGTGCATCTTTGACATCAAAATTATCGGAACTGAATCGACGAAACTAAAATTGCGCATGATTGGCTCTTACAGTATCAGGACCATAAACACTATTCACATTTTTAGCCGCCTGGCTTGCGTTTTCGCCTTTATCGAAGAAAAACTGTAAAATATGGCGTATTTTCTCTTTGCTGGTGTCCATCTTTGACGCGCGCTCAAATAATACTGAGTTAAGCAATCACAAAACTGTCTGAGAGGTTTTTTTAGTACGAAATCTTATTTTTCTAACGCCATCTGGCGTAATCCGATCGAATTTATACAACGCGAGATACAGATTAGTAAAGCCCTCTATTGGAAAAATAATGGATTACTTTTTACTAGACCTAATATTAATACTACTATAGTGTGTCACATAAAATCATACAATTTTTGGATGAAACTTTTTTTCGAAAATGTATTGTTTTGAAAATATTCGACCGCTTTTGGACTTTCTGAGATCCGCATATACCACACGCATATGGTATTAATATCCTGTGTTTCCACGATGTTCTAAATTAACTAATGCTAAGACATAACTCGTTGCCGTTGTTTGCAGGAGGCAATTTTTATTATTTTATAAAATAACGCCAGTCTTACTATTTGTGTACTTTATAACTTCACCTTATATTTGACATATAAAGTACGAACTGACGCAGATGTGTTTCGTTTTTGGCAGCAGATAAAGAATAGAAGACTGCGCTAATTTTATGTAATATTTAACATACGTAGGTAGATTGAAAAGTTTCTCGAAAGAAAAAGAAAATACCAAGTCACAAAACTACGTAAAAAATCTCTGATATCATGTTTAAACATTGTTGAGGAATGATCATTTGAACCTGCTTTTGGTCGATTATTAGCAAACGCGACATCCATCGAACAATGAACCTTTTTATGTCTAAATGTTGATATAAAATAAAATGTTCACGGTCATATGAGAAAGCGATTCCTGCAGTTTCTGCTATCTCTCTGAACTTTAATCGATGATTATTCATTACGATTCTGTGGACTTTTCTAATAATTTTCTTCATCGATAGCTGTTTTTGACCAATCTGAACGTGGTGCATCTTTTGTGCTTATATGGCCGCGTTTAAATTCAGCAAACCAATTTACAATTGCTGCATATGAAAGAATAGACTCAACATAAATTCCAATTAACTCAACTTTTATTTCTTTAACAATTAAACCTTTCAAAAATAAATTTATCATTGCACGATATACGGTTTTTTCATGATTAAGAAGAAATGAAAGTATAAGTATTTTGATTGACTGTCACAGCAATACTATATATGCCATCTATTTGACAATTTTATGGTAGTCGTTTGAAAAATATTTTTTTCAATACATGTCAGTGGTAGAGTACCTTTAATCAAAGTGACGATGTACGATTATTATTTACAATTGGCTCACTTTTTATTATTCGTTCCCACCAGTTTTTTTAATTTTATTATTTTTTGAACTTTTATTTTTATTAAAAAAATACTGAAAATAAAATAGAAAATATTAATACTAATTGTAAATAAATTAAAAATGGGAATTATATATAAAATATTAATATAGCTTCGGTCACACAACTTAACGTACAGCTGACTATGATACTATGGCTGCGTTCTTTTTGGATGCTCACGTGCTGTCATTCTATCTTTGTTGTTCGTTACATGTCAAAATAAAATAGAATGAGCTTATAGCGAGTGAAAAAGTGACGCCCAAAAGGGCTGCAACCTGTATGATAGGCAGAGACCGTATATATTTCTTTTTTCTCATATAATTTCGATGAAAATTGGCAGAACTCTTCTTACCGCCACTCTGATTAGAGGCACTGTAAGTGGTATGTTTTTGCAATGCCATTTTTCGATTCGTTCTAGAAACTTTCCGATCTAGCTTTATATAAAACACGTTGATTTAACAGATAGCAATTGTATTTTACCGAAGAAAATAACTTTAAAATTACATAATTTTTATGTTTACATAATCTTTATGTTAAACATATATTTACAAATAAATTGTACTATTTCAACACAGAAGAATGTTGAATATTAATTCAACACGAAATAATAAAATCACATTGTTACATTAACATAAGGCTATGTTAAGAAATATATACGAAATAATAAAATCTATATTACGAAATAATAAAATCACATTGTTACATTAACATAAGGCTATGTTAAGAATTCAACAAAATTAACATAAGGCTATGTTAAGAATTTAACAAAACTTTTAAACAATTTTAATATAAAAACAAATGTTTTTTTATTGTATATTTTATAAAAACCGTTATTTCCTAAACAGCGCTTAAATTCCGATAATTATTGTTTGGCGCTGAGAAAGTTCGAACACGCGAACTTTATTTCTTACGTTTCGCATTATAAATGCGTTGATTTTTTCACAAAACAATCTATCTTCAGACGCTGATTCAGCAAGCTCGTAGTAGAGTTTCCTGCGTGGTTGAACGACGACGGGCCGACGAGGTGATGGACGGAACCAGTGACAACGGCCTGGATAACAGTACTGATTCGCAACGTTTCCAAAGACTGAGCGGCGAGCGAGTTGCCATCTTGTGTGAGTCAGGCAGTCCAAACCAGGAGTAAGTCTGCTACAACATGAACAAAGCCTATAAATTAGCACAATTTATATCAAATGAAATCATCTGAGCAGATTTGAGTCATTACGTTTGCTTTATTTAACACTGCCGCTTCTGTCTCTCACAGGCAACAGGAGCAGGAAATGCTCACCCCGATCATCGTGCCTCTTGGCACCGTGCAAATTCCCTTACAATCTCAAGAATCCAATCCAGGCTACCATCAGTACCAAATACATACACAATATCAGGTTCCCGATATGCAGCAACTGCCGCTCAGTGATCCACGAGGATTAAATCACATCCCACCAGGTTTACTTCCCTCTGAGCTCCGTAACTTGCCTCAATTAACTATGGAGATGAGACCGCCTCGAATGGGTTCAGAAACACCTATGATGGGTCCACAGAATATTCCAACGGGATCTCAAGTAAGAAGCTCGACTATTTACACGTTTGCTATTGGCATTAAACATACGCGATAACAAGAACATAGATCAACACAAAAATTGCATTCTGGACCTGAAACATTAATATTCTAATTAATATTGGGTGTTGTTTATAAATATAATAATTAAAATCAATACATTGCTCTATAATTACCATCATATAATAAATAATAGTCAAGAGAAAATTTGAAATTTGAGGATTTCGTAATATAGCGTAGTATATAATTCTGGACCTGAAACGTCAATATTCTAATTAATATTGGGTGTTGTTCATAAATATAATAATTAAAATCAATACATTACTCTATAATTACCATCACATAATAAATAACAGTCAAGAGAAAATTTGAAATTTAAGGATTTTTTAGTATAGAGAGAAAGAAATGTCATCAAAATCATCTTTTTTAAAGCTAATTTTTTAATTTGAGATGGTTTACATGTAGGACAGTCTGTAAAAATTTATAAATGAGATATGTGTTTTAATTTACTAAGAAGATGGAGATTATTTTCTATTTTTCATTTAACATTCTTTATTTCGAAGCTAATAAAAGGTCTAATAACGTAATATTTAAAAAGAATTTTAATTTTTCGAACAGTGTAAAACAAAATTATGCAATTAGAGTAAAAATATGTTATGTTATTTTATTTTCCTATCTCTTATGCTATTAACTTATAAAATTAAAATATAATCTATGTTACGTGTTCGATCCTGACGTGATCGAAATACACAAATGCCAGAATAGCACAACCCTGCGCGTGAAGCCATGTGTTACGCGCTTCCTCGGAAGCGCCGAAGGGATAGAAGGGTGAGAAGACACACGAGTTTCTCACTGTGATGCACAAAAACTATTTCTTAATTAATCACGATACAATTCACTGTATAATAACAGTCGTGTTTAACAGATAAACTTGTGTGGTAGCACACGACATACAATGCGAGAGGACGGAAAAAAGTTGCGCGGAGATTTTCTTTTTGTGCGGATTACTGCCTTCAATTCGCGACGGAAATCTTGACAAACGCTTTGCTAAGTGCCTTGACATCGCGGAGATTTTTATCGCGAACGACGGAAATTTTGTTACGTGACAGTAGCACAGTCGCGAATGCATAATGGTCGTCGGCTCGCGAACACAGCACGAAAATCGCACGGAACAGAATATAACATAATCATAGCATAATCATGGAATACACAATTGCGAGGGAAAGTGTCTCAGATAAATATTGAGACTTTTGTTAAAGTGAATATTGACGAAATTGGCACACCATTCTACGAAGGTAGGCACAAAAGTCATCGAGTGGCTGACAGCTGCATAGAAGATTATTGCACCGACGATATAACGACGATGTGCGGTCACGTGGTCTCAACGGTTCAGAACTCAAATCGACAATTCAAGACTTAGCAAAAGCGCATAAAATTTCGAAAAACTATCGACTGTTGCGATTGATTTCGATACACCAACGTTTTTTGACGTAGCCATCATTTTACGTAAAGACTCGACTGGACGGCTGATTGATTCGTACTTTCACGACCGTAGCTAGCGAGCGAGCTTTTAAAGTTCTTAAAACAAAGCTTCGATTGCACATCGATTAGGAGAACACAGCGTAACTCGTACCGTGCAGTGCTTGTGCGTATTCCCAAAGCAGAAATATGTCTAGCAGATTAGATTTCATGATTAATAGCTAAATAGTAATAACTATTTATCTTCTAAGAAGTATCTAAGAAGTTTTCTAACCCTAGTCACTAGCCCGTGATGAGCTAAATACTCCTGATCAATTGTCTAGTCATTAGATAGAAAATATGGTAGTAGATGGGACCGTCTTTTCTAAAATATATTGGGTCTATGCATAATTCCATAGCGAAATTCCGACAGATGTCGTTCGCAGTTGTTTTTTCGTTCGCACATGTGTCAAACATATGAAGTGTCGTATATTAAGTGAAAGCTGTAATTTGTGCCGACATTTTAAATATTCATCAAGATCTGTAACGTATACGAAGTTTAATTATACCAGGTGTAGAAGTTTGAAACCGGAATTTTTTTGTAAAAATTACACGTCTGTTGTTTGAAAATGATAAAAAATATTTTATTCAAAATAATGTCCATTGCTATTTATACATTTTTCCCACCTCTCCGGCAGTTTATGAATGCCACGCCAAAAAAACATTTCTTCTTTTGAAGCGAACCAGCTATCGAGCCATTTTCGTACATTTTCATACGAATTGAAGCGTTGTTCAGCGAGAGCGTGTCCCATTGATGCGAATAGATGATAATCGGACGGAGCCAAGTCTGGAGAATAAGCCGCATGCGTTAGTATTTCCCAACTGAACGCCTCGATCGTTTCCCTGACCCGTTTTGCTGTGTGTGATGGGGCATTATCATGGAGCAAAATGACTTTGTGTTGCCTTTTTCCATATTCCGGTCGTTTTTCACGCGATTTAAATCGATCATTTGCTGTTGGTAGCGATCAGTGTTAACGGTTTCACCAGGTTTTAGCAGCTCATAATAGATTACACCCTTCTGATCCCACCAAACACAGAGCATTGTCTTCTTTCCAAAGCGATTGCAGTGGATGTCGATGGTTCGCCTGGATTCACCCATGATTTCTGACGCTTAGGATTCTCAAAATATATCCATTTTTCATCACCTGTCATGATACGATGGACTTTCTTTTGTATCTGTCGAGCAGCATTTCACAAGTGGTTTTTCGATTTTCTTGCTGTCTTTCATTCAGTTCATGCGGAACCCATTTTCCCACTTTCTGAATCTTTCCCATGGCTTTCAAACGAATTGAGACAGCTTTCTGCGTCACATTCAATTCATCCGCGAGTTCTTGTTGAGTTTGAGTATCATCTTCATCCAATAAGGCTTGCAATTCGTTGTCTGCGAACTTTTTCGGTGGTTTCCCACGCTCTTCGTTTCTCACGTCAAAATCACCACTTTTGAATTTTTTGAACCACTCGAAACACTGTGTTTTACCAAGAGCATGTTCACCGTAAACTTCGACAAGCATTCGATGCGCAGCAGTTTTCTTCAAATGATAACAAAAAACCAATGCTGTCCGCAAATCGTAGTTCGTAGGCACAAAACTCGACATGTTTAAGGTTATAGAAAAATATACCGGTGTATGAAACTTGGGTTGTTGTGTGTTGAAAATCTTCGTCAGCTGTTAGAGGGAGATGATGGCGCTGCAGAAGCGGTCTTACGGTCCCTAAACTGATGGCTAGCACCATCTATAGGGAAATTCCGGTCTCATACTTCTACACCTGGTATTTTGAACATGAAAGGAAAAAACGTGTATTTTCGGCGCATTTCGCTTTTTTATTTCCAAAAAGGCAAAAACGCGTCGCAAATTTACAAAAAGATATCCGCGTATACGGAGAGATTGCCGTAAGCGAAAGTTTGTATCGAAAGTAGTTTGCGAAATTTCGTTGCAGAGATTTTGATCTCCAAGATGCGCCTCGCTCTGGTCGGCCAGTCACTACTGATGTCTAATCAAGGCTTCAATCGACTCCGATCGGTATTTGACGACTATAGCAATTGGACATAACCTCAACATTGACTGATCAACTGTTTCGGGATATTTACGGAAGCTTGTGATGGTAAACAAGCTTGATATTTGGGTGCCGCACGAACTGAACGAAAAGAAAGTAATGGATCGAATTTCAGCTTGCGATTCGGTGATTAAACTCCATTAAAACGAACTATTTTTAAAGCGGATGATCACTTGCGATGAAAAGTGAATTATCTACAATAATGTCAGTCGAAAAAGATCATGGTCCAACCGCGGAGAAGCTGCTCAGACGGTCACAAAGGCTGATTTACATCCGAATGAGGTTATGTTCAGTATCTGATAGGATTGGAAAAGAGTCGTCTATTATAAGCTGCTGCCACCCAACAAAATGATTGATTCGACCAGTACTGCTCACAACTAGCCAAATTGGCGAACAGATAGGGTGTTGTGTTCCACCAGGACAACGCTAGATCTCACGTTTCTCTGATGACCCGGCAAAAGTTATTGCGGCTTGGGTGGAATGTTTTGGTGCACCCACCGTATAGTTCGGATCTTGCACCTTCAGACTATCACTTGTTCCGGGCGCTACAGAACAATTTGAATAACAAAACCTTCAGTTCCCTGAACGTCTTCAAAATCCACTTGGATGACTTCTTTACCCAAAAATCTCAGGATTTGTATGAAAGAGCCATAATGAAACTCGTGGAGAGATAACAGAAAATCATTGAACAGAATGGAACATATTTAATTGATTAAAATCGCTTTTTCTGTTAAATATTTCACATTTGAAATTTACTCGATTTTCGCTACGGAATTATGCATGGACCCAATACAATCTAGCTACTATCTCGCCACTAGCACGATTATATTAGTCAGCACATCGACATTATTGTTATGTTACATTATCAAACTCTGTTTAGTAACTGTTTAGTAGCAACATATTATAAATCCTAAATCCTAAATCTCGAAATTAAATGGTAGAATTGTCTAACCATTAAGATAGTAAGTTTGGGTATAGACAATGATTTTAAATACAAATTTACTATCTAGTAGACAATTCTGACATTCAATTTCTATTCAGAATTGCTATGTTGCTACTAGACAGTGACTAGACGGAATTTGATATTCAGTTTTAAATAAGGATTTACCGAGTTTTCTATCTCGTTACTGTGTAATTTTATAGTTAACTATGAGATAGAACTGCGATTAGTAAAGTATATGTAACCAATATGAACACTAGTGACCATAACAGTGGTCTAATATGTAAGGTGGGCGACTCAAGAGCCAGAAATCTCAGGTTCATGTTCCAGTAGGGAAAAACGAAACTTTTCCATAGAATTGGATATAACACGTAATCAAGAAGAGTTTCAAGAACCAAATTAGATTGGATCACCTCTTCGAGAGAGAAATAAGATAAATCAAAACTGCGATTAAAGAAAAATTATCCAGCCACTAGAAAAAATCCATGACAAAAGTTCTAACATAAGAAAGCTCTCTAGGGATTAAATATTCCTGATACAGAGAAAAAGCGAGAGAGACATCAACGAAAAGAAAAATTAATTTTTTCATTTTATTATAGTCTGTTCCATAATAGCGTACGGGCTATTTCTTCTAAAAAAAAAAAACACAAAATCGTTAAAAATTTGATTTAGAAATATTAATAAATTCAATAAACTAAAATGCGTTTACTTAGTAAATTGTCCAATTTTCCTTGTTATTGAGTATGGCCTGGCAGCATTTGAGCATGCTTTTCACGAGATTTTCAGTCATTGTCTCAAGAAAAAATCTCCAGATTTCCCATATATGACGAACAAGCTGCTTTAAATAAAAAACTTTCTTTTCCCTGAGTTTGACTTTCATGACTGCCAACCCGTTTTCGATGGGATTGGCATTAGGCAACTGGGAAGGCCAATCCATTGTAGTAATGCCATTTTTACGTTTCCACTCTGTACACGCACGACTTCGGTGTTTTGGGTTGACCTCTTGAAGCACCAATGAACTATTATCTGAGCCAAACCATCTTTGAACAGATTTCAATAAACATTTATGATAAATTAGGTTCATTTTTGTGCATTTAGATTGTCCGTGAAGAGATATAAATTACCAAATCCCTGTTTACAGAAACATCCCCTCATGTGTACTTTCATTGGGTGTTTTAGTGTACGTTGAACAACGGGATCGTGATGAGTCGATCACGCATACCTTCTGGGAATCCAGGCTCAAAAGGATGATTCTTCGGTGAAGATTGCATTGACAAAATTATGGTCAATATTAGCATTTGCCCTCTCCAGGCGTTTTTCGACGTGTTTTTCGCTCAAAAATGGTTTTAACTTTGTGGACCGCCAGTCGTATTAGGAACGAAGCAATCGTTGTCTAATAGTATTAAGGCTCACTTCTATACCCTTTTTTAATAAATGACTCTTCGCTCGCCGTAACGAACACCCAGGATTCCCCTCAAATATCTTGATGACAGCTTAATCGTCCTTTTTTGTCGTTGAGCGCCGGTGCTAGGTTCCTGCAGATCATCAACACTTTTTGTTTTGTAATAATGTTTCATTCACTTCTTAACGAACTCTTCTAACTTTTTCATGTAGCTGCCGACAGCTGCATACGACATTTTCGGTCTTATCGGATGTGTGTAAGGAAACACTACTTTAAAATGACTTGCATACACATCACTCATTGTGTTTATTTTGCTCTGTTACAGACAAAACAAGTCACACTGCCCATATAACTTCAAAGCATCCTTCCGAACTATTCAGAGAATCGGAAAAACTGAAAGAACATCTGCGTGCCGTCTGTTAATGAAATGCGGAACCGTATGCTCTTATGGAACATACTATATATTTAACTACTAGCTAATTTTTCTATTACACCCATTAGGAGAAATGAGCGTTATATTTTTGGCTAGTGGCTACCTGAGATTTTTCATCTCATGACTGTGTACTATTTTTTGTCCAGCTATTAGCTAATTTTTCTAGTACAGTCATTAGAAGAAGTGAGCTGTACATTCCGAACTAATAACTAGCTAATATTATTAACTAATAGCGATATAAAATCTAACTTTTCTATGTCATGATTAGACAGTTATTAGATTCAATTTCTACTCGGGTTGTTAAACATGCAACGCGCGTGAGGATTACTGTGTGCAATATGTCGACGAAAGCGCGATGTATCTCACGATGCGTGATCACGCACCGCAAACGTGAAGTCCTATGGCTCTAGAATCTTCTAGAATATTCTAACGACTGTTCGAATTTTGAGCAGCCTATATATTTCTTGAACTAAAGCTAAATAATATTTTATTGTCATTTTCAGTTTCATAGAAACAGAAATAGAAAAAATTCTAATTAAAAAATATATAATTTTAATAATATGAAATTTGTTAACCAGTATAATTTTACTTTTTATGTCTATGTAAACAGAGTCCGTTTTATATAATTATATAATAAAAATATACAGTGGGCAATAGGGCAAATTCCCTAAATATACGAGGGTAGTCTGATAAATACTTAGCCTACAAAAGAAAAACGAAAATTTTGGAAAAGTGGCGATTTATTTCTCAACATAGTTTCCTTTTAGCTCAATACACTTGACCCAGCGATGCTCCAACTTCTTTAACCCATCTGAAAAATACGTTTTCTTGAAAATACGTTTTCTCTGCAAAGTAGGTCTCCGTGGCGGCGATGACCTCCTCATTCGGCCAAATTGGTCGAATTGGACTACGAACTGCTGCCCCATCCACCGTATTCTCCAGATTTGGCCCCGTGCGACTTTTTTTTGTTTCCAAACTTGAAAAAGTCACTCGCCGGGCAGAAATTTGAGTCGAATGAGGAGGTCATCGCCGCCACGGAGGCCTTTCAGACTTCGAGAAAACGTATTTTTCAGATGGGTTAAAGAAGTTGGAGCATCGCTGGGTCAAGTGTATCGAGTTAAAAGGAGACTATGTTGAGAAATAAATCGCCACTTTTCCAAAATTTTCGTTTTTCTTTTGTAGGCTAAGTACTTATCGGACCGCCCTCGTACCATAGATGTAATCGTGTTAAGCGATATGACAAATTTCGCGTTATCGTGAATAAAGATGTAAGTTTGGCGCAGTGGCCGATTACTAACGGTTTTTCTTGTGCAGGTCGAGATGCGTCAAATCCCCATCGAACTGCGTCACTTTCCGATAGATCCTATAAGGGGCATGCGGCCGATGATTCAGGAACCGCGTCAGGAGCTGCAACCACAAGTTTCGGTAATGTATCAGCAAGCAGAGCAAGTTCCTAACACCTACAATCAGGAACAGCAAGGTCCTGCTATGATGCCGCCACCTCCTCCTCTCTCGCAAGTCGAGGCACAAGATCAAAAAATACATCAGTCCGTGATGATCCCGCAGACCGAACAAAGACCACCGATCGCACCTCAAGTTACGCCCGAGAAGCCGCGTTCTCCCTTCCAAGGCATCCCCATTGAAATCAGAAGAATTATTCAGCAGGTACCATTAGAAATCAAGAACATTATTCAGCACATCACCGGCGAAACCAGACCATTCCCAGTGCAAGTACCGGAGGAAACACGTCGTGAAGTAAGCGTTTCATGCACAAATCATAAAGCAATTTTGAGAGAGGGGGAGAGAGATTTTATATTAAATAACAGAATTAATAATTACAATATAAATAATATAAGCTTTTGTACTTGTAATCATATACCGTTTACGCGAACAGGAACTCAAGTCGTTCCCAGAAGGCGCACGAGCGATACCCTTAGGACCATTCCCACTTCCAGTAGAAGTGAGAAATTTGATCGAGCATGGAAACATCGAAGGCCGCCCGGATGGCAGAGATGAGCAGCAGGAAGCGAAACCCTTCCTAGGCCCGGAGGATGAGACCGACGATGTCGAGAGGAACTTCCCAGTGCCTATGGAAATTCGTAATATAATTCATCAGGTAAAATGATGGAAGAAAAATAAGAGATTATATTTATATTGCTAAAGTTTGGAGCGTTTTTCTAAAGCGATAATTTAAGATCTGAAATTTAATTAAGCTTTTTACTTGTTAATTCTTGGACAATATATCGTGTAGTGCCAGATCTCTTGATATATACATGACACTGTTCCATCTGGATTAATACATTGACTGATGTGTCGATTTTTATCAATCATATGCTGAGCTATGCATAAGCTATTCATGACCTTACTTGACGATCAAATTATCAAAAATATGTTAGAAAAATGTAATTTTTTTTTTATATATTTTTTATTTAGTTTTATTGGCTTTCAAAACATGGAGAGAATATTGTTACGTCCTGGAAGGGGGTGTACGCAACAAACATCGCTTACTCGCGCATTCGCGAGGCCTAAACTTATTGGTAGGTCTGCAGATCAGATCAAGGTCCGAAGAGGTCCATTTACTCCGATCGCAGAACGTACGTTAGATGGTCCTTTATTTAGGTCAAAGAACTTAATCTCTTTATCTGGGATAGGACCATATGAGAGTGTTGAAAGGGGAATTCAGATTTAAGTAATTGAAAGGAAATGAATAAATAATTTTAACAACTTGGTTAAATTTAGGGCATTTTGAATAAAACAGTTTATTAATTATACTATTAGGTTGGTGCGTATGAAATATCGGATTTTTAAGTGAATATATATTGGGAGTACAAATTAGTTTGGTCCGTTTTCAAAAGATGACTCTGGCTGTTATGAATGTTTCATAGTGACAGCTGATTTTGGTGGTTTCAAAAAGGTTACACATCTGTCAATAATATTCAGTTTATATCGCTTTGAGTTTCAAACAAAACCTCTGTTTTTTATTGTGTTGAATATGTCAAATTTTGTGCTAACTAAACAGTATTTGCGGGAGGTTTTAGTTTTTCTACTTTAATCGGAAGAAAATTGCAGCTGAAGTGTATCGAATGATTGTAGAAGTTTATGGTGACAATGCTCCAACTGATAAATCATGTAGGGAATGGTTCCGACGTTTCAAGAATGGTGATTTCAGCGTTGAAGACAAGCCTCGCTCTGGACAGCCAAAAAAATTCGAAGACAAAGAAGAATTGGAGGCATTACTCTGCTGCAACCTGGCGATTCCATTACGGGCTATCGGTATAGGCTACAATTGATTTGTTTGAGCCATGTATTACGAGAAAAACGGCCGGAATACGAACAAAGACATGACAAAGTTATTCTTCTGCATGATAACGCTCGACTTCATGTCGCAAAAGTCGTAAAAAATTATTTGGAAACGCTCAAATGAGATATTTTACCGCACCCGCCGTATTCTCCGGACATTGCGCCTTCTGATTACTGGTTGTTCCGACGGATGCAGCACGATATGGCAGATCACCGGTTCACTTCTTTCGCGGAAATCGAGAATTGGCTCCTAACTTGGATCGCCTCAAAAGACAAGATATTTTTTCGAGTTGGAATTCGAAAATTGCCTGAGAGATGGGAAAAAGTAGTAGCCAGCGATGGACAATACTGTGATTAATCTGTTCATTCATTTTGTTCTGAAATAAATGCATTTTTGACCACAAAAAACAAACCGAACTAATTTGTACTCCCATTAAAACTATATATCTTTTTTGAAAAGTTGTTTATTTAATCAAAATATGCTGCATTTGCTTGAATACACTTTTCCCGACGAGATTTTAATGCATAAATACCTGTCTTAAAGAAATTCTGATCTTTGGAATCAATTAACTCTGATATGAAATTTTTCAGACTGTCTTTATTTTCATAGTGTTTAGCCCGTAAAACAGTTTTAAATATTTAAAGAAATGAAAGTCGGTTGGCGAAAAATCTGGTGTATAAGCTGGGTGTTGCAAAATTTCATATTTTAAATCATTTAATTTTGCAATTGTTTTGTACGACGTATGCGGCCGAGCGTTGTCGTGGAGAAGTATTGGGCTATGCCGATTAATAAGTGATGGGCGTATAATTTTCATTTTTTTATGCATTTCATCAATGTACTGGCAGTACTTTTCGACTGTAATTGTTTCCCCAGTTTGAAGGAATGAGTAGTGTGAATTACTCTTGTCACATTCCACCAAACTGTTATTAAAATTTTCCGTGGATGAAGTGTTGGCTTTGGAGTATGAGCACAAGTCTCATCCCTATCAAGCCACCGAACACACCTTTTCCTATTGTCGTAAAGAACCCATTTTTCATCACAAGTAATAATTCGATCGAGAAACGGCTCTCGATGAAATCGAGTTAGTAATGATGAGCATATACGTTTAACCGATTCAGCTTATTTCGCTTGGTTAGTTCGTGCGGTACCCACTTATCCATTTTTTTCACCTTGCCAATTTCAGAAAGGTGTCGCAATATTCTTATATGGTCGACTTTCATTCTGATAGCAAGTTCCCTTGTACCGTTGGATTCGTTTCCACCAATGTTTTCAGAACATCATTATTCACAGACGTTTTGGGTCTTCCACGCGGTTCATTTTGTACGGAAAAATCACCAGAACACAATTTTTTGAACCAACGCTGCACTTTTCGTTCGTTAACAATATTCTCCCCAAACGCCTGGTTTATAATGTAAGATTAAGTAAAAAAGTAATCCGTGTAACTTAATATAATACAATCGAATTTAACATAACAAGAATGTTTAACGTATCAGTATGGCGAGAAAAACATCATTATATAACACAAGGGAGATAATAATTACGCAGTATATGTGTGTATTTTGAGGAGTGAAGTGGGATTGGAGATTGGATTGAAATGATTAAAAGTCATATTTAAATATGAAATAGAGACTTACGATTTAGGTGAATCAACTGTGGTGAATAGTACGTAGAACATGGGTTCGTTGATCGTGGTGTACCGGATTTATGGGATCCCGGAATATCGAGAGAAATAGTTCATTTAAGAGATCCCGACTTGCACAGCGCGTTGTGCGTCAGTAGCAGAAGAAAAAGAAGAAGTTACTGACTGTTTTGTTTATCGAAGAAAAAAATATCTTTGAATTGTTAAAAAAATTTATTTTTGCAATAATCGAAGAAAGAGAATATTTTTCTGAATTTAACCATAAGCATGTTTTTTTATGATACGTTTTTTATGATACGTTGTTTCATAAAGCATTTCGGAAACGCTTTCATCTAATACGCACATTTGAGCGTTTAACATTTATATATTCTCACCTCATCTTTATATTGATACATAACGATATAGAATTAAATGAAATAATAATACAACGTTAATAATATAACAATAAAAATGGAAGTCAGATATATAATATCAAGGTAGTGTGCTGTTAGTTTATTATGAATGTATTTTTTGGACATATAAATATTGCAATCTCTCACCTATGCGACATTCAGCAACAGTTTATATATGTTAGCAAAGGCTCTGCAATGGTTTATGTCCAGTAACACCTCTATATAATTCTAATATGAATCTAGTCAATGAATAGGTTTTGCGGGGTTCTTCTCATCAGTTTATTAAAGAGTTTCGCAAGACTAATTTTTATGCTAAAATGTTATTGGAATGATTCAAGATTCATTTTTTGTATAAAATAGTTCTAACTTTAATTTCTTCCTTAACTGTTTAGGTCATGATGCAGTTTTTCGTTAGTAACATATCAAGGTGAATCAATAATTATACGTAATACTTTGGATTGAAATCGTTGTAAAATTTCAATGTTTGAGTTGGCGTTGCCCTATAATTGTATTTTGTAGGTCCATAGGTACACTTATAAAGAAGTAACTTGTTCTTCAGGAAGAGTTGGGATTTCCGGCACATTAACTAGTATATTTTCCTAAGCTGTTGACCTAGGACCTTCCGCTTAGTAAATATTCATTACTTCCATGCAAGATATCTGTCCAAATATAATCCCAGGTATCTTGCCTCACTAGCTTGAGATATTAAAGTTCCATTCAATTTTACTGGAAGAAATGTATCTTTTCTAGTGGTGCAAATTACGTGTACCGATATGACTTCATTTTTTTTTAAATGCACAAATCCTATAGCCACTTAGAGATATTAGAGATATTATCAAGATTTCTTTGCAGCATAGCCTGTGTGGGACTTTCATTCACGGCTATGACAGCAATATCATCCGTAAATGTATTTATAATTACAACTTCGGTTAAGAGAAAATTTGAGGTTGTCACCGCAACTAAAAGATGCATAATTAAAGGATTGTCCGCGGCGGTTGCGGGACTTCTTCACTCCCGCTTTCGCGGCAACGGACCCATCTCGGCTAGCTCAGTTCTTTATTTGGCACTAGCGAGTCGAATCCCTCGCCATTCCGCGTGGTAGAGCGTCGTGGTTCTTACACGTTCTTCCTCGATTTCGCGGACTCGTCGGAGAGAAGCTAGGAGGGATAATAAATTAGAGACCGGTTTAACATTTAATAACAATGCTTTACTTTTGATTACTTTCTTTATATGCTACTAAGATTCGATACTCCTGGGAGATCTCGTACGCAATTAAAAGAGAACGATCTCTTGCCTGCGATGTTCCGCGAGATATTTAAGCGGCGGATCTAAGCTGTTGGACGGTAGCTATAATAACGCACGTCATATTAACCGAAACGCTCTCTTAACAGACGAATCCTGCCGGGTTTTCCACTGGGCGCCAGCCGGGTCTTTCTCGACAGTAATTATTGCTTCTGGCCGATCATTAGATCATTAGATGTATTATTTCCGACTTAGCTCGCTCACCAGAAGCAGTTTTCTAAAAACAACTTTGCTATTCAATAATGCGGCTCGTAATAGCGCGTCAATTAGCGCGTCTCGATCTTCAGGACTCGACGGACCTTAATCCACCTTCGTAGTCACTCATTTTTTTCCTACCCATGATTAGTGATGTTTTATCTCTACGATCGAACAGAAACTTTTGATATTAATGTGTCCTAGTGATATTTTGGAGGATTGTGCTTATAATTATTCTTATATCCTTCCTGATTATTTTTATATTATTCAAAAAACATTAATTGCATAATATTGATAAATTTTGAAATAATGCAAGAACAATCATATGGAAAGGAAATGTATTGACAATAATTAATATATTGACAATTTAAAAAGACGTCATCACCGATAATCTATACTGAGACACTTACTTATCTTACTTATATTCTTATACTTACTGTTACAGTCAATTAGAATTTTTCTCAGTTTCCTTGCGACTTAAAAATTTATACAAGTTTTTTTACTTGTTCATTAGTTGATATAAAATGTTTGTTATAAGGTCGAAAATGACAAAATGTCGACTAATATTCGACATCAACATTCATCAACGTATCGACATTGAATCGATGTTGATTCAACTTTTTACTTCTGACTGGGATATATTCATTAATAATAATTTAATCCTTAATAATATATTCAAGGTAAATATGTTATTATAAATATATGTATGTTATTGTTACTGTGTACACATGTTACACAGTAAATATATAAGCTATCCAGGTAACACAATTAGTATCACGTAACACATGTTAGTTTCATATACATTCCTTAAACATATGTAATATGATTATAAAACGTACGTTTAAAACACGTATATGAAACTAACCTGTGTTAACAGGGTAAATATTGAAACATTGAAATAGATACAAATTATGCAATTTTATGATAAATTAATCGATCCCTATTGATCGATTAAGAAGAAGAACGACTTAAAAACGATTAAGATTGTAAAAACATATCCAGTCTCTGCGAGAGTGTAGTTTCAAATTCTATCATTGTCCTTTTTTTACATCATTATATCAGACTATTTCACACGCGCATGTGCGCGCGCGCGCCTACACACACACACACATACTCCTTTCAGTAAATATTTTTGTAGTATAATAGAGTAACGAGTGATAATGCAAAAAAGTATAAATGCTGTATAATAAAATGAATGACACACAACTGATGAAAGTTATTTCTGAAATTTAGGTCGTGGAGGGTCGTGCTTTCCCGGTTTCAAGATTTGCGCTAAGACCGATTGAGTCTCTGGAGATACCAATAGAAGCACGTGCTGAAGTGACTAACGATCAGTCCACGGAACAACAACCCGAACAACGACAACAAGTCGACCAGCACCAAGCAACGCATATGTTACTTCAGCAACAGCAACAGCAGCAACAGCAACAATCTATGCAGGAGACTCGCCCACACTGTAAATAACACGCGAATTATTCGCTTCATTTTCTTCAAAATTTTGCTTCACATTGGATAACTAATAAGAATACGTACGTTCTCCACAGTGAAATCGACAAACTTCATCAACATGTTTGGCAAGTTATTTTAAGCAAAAAGTATTAAGCAATAAATTATGGGTTGATTTAGCTCCATTATTAAGATATAGGAAGTCCATTGATATACATCACATATATAAATCACAAATACACAGGCACATAATCAAGCTACTTGTTTTAATATTTGTTTAAATGTCAATTTTAAATTACATTGACATTACTTTCGCATGTACTGTTTGAAATGGCCATTTTGTATATTTATACAAGTGATTAAGCGTATTTCCATTAATTGCAACTACTAAACATTGGTAGATTTCTGACACTAGTATTGCTGTGCTGAGACTTTCAATTTTACTTTACATTAACAATGACGTGTCTGATTTTTGATTCAAGATTTTATTTTATTCTGGATTTTATGTAATCTTAGTCTTTATGTAATCAGGAAGAAGTCTAAAAAGAATGAAACAAATGACCGAGAGGGTCATGTCATAGGTTTACCTCTTTCTATCGATTGGAAAAAGCTCTCATCTAGTAATGCCTCTCTGGTAGTACATGAAAATCCTTTTTTATTTTACGTGGGGAAAATCAATCATGAATACCCGCAGAGCTCGGAGGACTTTGTTTTGTCCCCCCAGTTCTTTTCTTTGTGGAGGGGAGCGGCCAATGACACCCCGTCACAACCCCCTCCTCGTGGGGGGCGGGATCGGGGTCGGAAACCCCCACCCAGACCTCAACCACCCTGTCTAGAAGCCCGGCGATCAGGAGCTCGCTCGGCAGGCTTCAACAGACCTTACCTTCTAGGGAAAACTAAGATCGAACCCACCTCTACAATCCACCCCAAGGGAAATTCCGTTTAAAATTGTCCAAAATGGTGAGGAGGGGAGGGGGGGGGGNTGCGTCTCTCGTGCTCACCTTGAACCGGGAACTTTTTTCATCCGAGTATATGAAAACCATATGAAATTTCACCGAGGTGAAAATTTTTTCTAAAAAATTCTGATATTCTCAAAATATTTATCTTTTCAAAGAATATAGATTTTTTTAATATTTTTCAGAAAAATCCAGAAACTTTCTCTGCATTAATGAAATTTTCTCTTTGGCCTGTACTGTAAATAACGAAAATTTCCTACAAACTTTGAAATTTTCTTTATATATAACAGAATTTGCCAAACTACTTCATATTCATTTAAAAAATCAGAGATTATTAAAATAATTTTGTTTTTCAGAAAAAGTGTGAAATAAAATATTTTATAGGAGAATATTATATTTTTTATTTTCATCTTCTCTGGTCTCATATTTTCCAAACAAAAATAAACCTTTTATGTTAATTTTATAATACCCATATTTTTTTTTTAAATTGCAATCTTCCTAAAAATATTGAATAATTCATACTTTTTTTGGAATTGTAATTTTTCTTACAAAATAATGTAAAACATTTAGTAGGAAAAATTTAAATTACATGAAATAACGTATACAACTCCAACTTTTAAGAAAAATTAAGAAAATGTAATTTTAAAATAAAAGTATCAAATCAAAATATCATTTTTTTATTAGAGAAATATAAGACAAGAGAAGATTAAGGGATGAAATTCAAAGTTTTTTTAAAAAGTACTAAATTTTCTTTTTCTTCTTTTGAAAAACCAAATAATCCTAAAAATACCTTTTTTTTCTTTTAACGGATATGAGGTCGTTTGTTAAATTCTGTTATATAAGAAGAGAATTTCAGAACTTGTTAGGTATTTCCATTATTTCTCACGCAACCCACAATCTGATGTTTTTATCTTTTCTTATAATAGGTACCCTATGCATTGGCGGAAAGGTAAAAATTTACCATTAATACAAGAGTAATTTTATATGTATTGGATGTTATATTTCATAGTGTTACGTCCCAGAAGAGGATGTACGCATCAGATATCGCATACTCGCACACTCACGAGGCCTAAACGTACTAGCAGGTCTGCAGATCAGGTCAAGGTCCGGAAAGGCCCATTTATCTCCGATCGCCGAATATAAGAATATACGTTAGGTGGTCCTTTATTTAGATCAAAGAACTTAATCTCTTTACCTGGGATAGGATCGTATGAGATTGTTGAAAGGGAAATTTTGATTGAAGTAATTGAAAAGAAATGAATGAATAAATGTAACAAACTCAGTTTAATCTATGGAATTTTGAATAAAAGTATTTATTAATTATACTCATAAAATAATTTGCTTCTCACATGGATTAACAATAGTGATAAATTGATGAGGAAAATCTTTGTTAAAAATAAAATATTTAAAAGATGAAACGATTAGCTAAAGTTAAACAATGAGAAATATGGCTTAACATTAAACAAACTTTTATAAATCAGCATTATTGGAATAATGCAAATAAAAGATGAAGATTAAAGTAAGATTAAGTAAAAAGTAATCCGTATAACTTAATGTAATATAATCGGATTTAACGATTATCGGTATGATGAGAATAACAAAATTACATAATAAAAGGAAGATAATAATTACGCTGTGTATGTGTGTGTTGGAGTGAAGTGGAATTGGAGATTGGAATGAAATTATTACAAATCATGTATAGATATGAAATAGAAACTTACAATTTACGTGGATCGACTGTGGTGAATAGTACGCGGAACGTGGCTCTGATCGTTGGACAATTAATACAAAACATTAACGCACATATATACATGAGAACTAACATAATGAATGTGACGGTCACAAATGAAAACTATAACGAAAAAGAACTTTGAGACTGGGTATCTAATCCGAGAATGAGAATCTGAGAATGTTAAGAACTGCTGAGAACTATCAAGATTTGTCAAAACTGCTAAAAGAACTGCGGGATACTGTTAAATACTGATACTGTCGGATACTGCTGAAGAACTGCGGGGTACTGGGCGAGGCGGTAAAAGCGTAGGGTTTTTATAGGGAGGATTTTGGGAGTGGCAGATGACGATTGTCAATGAGAACAATTTTCGTGGAAGAGAGATGTGGGGGATTGGGAGGTCTTCCAATAGGTTTTTGCGAAGAAGGTGATGAAACCCTGCAGACGTAGGAGACAGAAATTGACCACTTCTACGATTGGGGAGAGGGACATACGCAAGACGTGGGAGTGAGGAGATCGCTGCTTTTTCGCGCTTTTTTTGGATAATAGAAGAGAAAAATGTGGCGTGATTCAGATATAGGGGTGAGGATGAGTTGTGTCAGTTTATAACGGGAAGTTAGGGCGTTGGATGGTTTGTTTTTCTAGGATCGTATATTTCCGACTCTATGGCGCAATGATAGCTAGTTGTGGCATTTTCCTTTATACTATTCGCAGACGGACGTTTTAGGAAACAACAGATGTATCTGGTAGTGCATTATCGAGATCCTATGAGCAAGTTTTGGGTCTATATTTTATGATGAGCCAACGTTTTTCCACATCCAGTTGTACTCTTAGGTTATGTTCTTAGTAATAGCACAGTTTTTATTACAGGATATCGCTTGGCCAAATACATCTGTTTCCCAATGCAAGAGAACAAAGGTTTGTAAGAAAGTAGCAGAGAAAAAAAAATTCATTATCTGTGAAGTACGCAGGACGCAACAATCGATATTAGGTGCTCAAATTAATACTCGCTGTTGACTAACAGAAATCAGTAGTAGTGACATTTCAACATGGCCGAAAATGCCTGTTGATGTATATGAAAGTAGTGTCAGTAGGCTTTAATAATCAGTGTGCGACATTAAATAATAGTGCAAAGAACACAATTTTTTTATTGCATTGAAGGTGTCGTGTTTCGTGTCAAAAAAGAGCAATTACGGGAAGCATTACTTTTCTACTTTCATCTCAAGAAATATGCTGTTGAAAATCAAGGTTTGCTAGTAGAGGCTTATGGGGAGAACGCTCTATCCGAAACAACTTGCAGAAACTTGTTTAGACGATTCAAAGACAATGATTTTGACATGAATGACAAAGAGCGCCCTGGCCAGATGAAAAAGTTTGAAGATGGTGTGACGTGGCGGCTCGGAGCCCCGCCCCCCGTCCCAAGGGTGAAGGCCCTATCGTAGGGTGAGTGGCGTGCTCATAGGAGCGCGCCGAATTAATGTTATTAGTTTTTTTTGTAGTTTGTATTTTTTTGAGTTAGCGAAGACCGCGCGCCGAGGGCCGCCGACCCCCCCGGCCTCCGACTTAAATCACCCCGGAGCTGCCGGTCTCGATCGGGACGAACTCAGGTCGAGTGGCCGACGCGCGGACGGCGACGCCGACCGCGGGGCCCGTAGTTAGTGGGTGCGATTCGCGAACCTGGCGCCCACACGGACTCGTGGAGGTCCGGATTTAGTTAGCGGCCCGAGGTTCACCCGTCGGCGTTGCACCGGTGACTCGAAGAGGCCGAGTCGCGAATAACGGTCGCAATGAAGAATTGGAGATATTACTGGAACAAAATTCAGATGAGACACTCAAAGAGTTATCGGAAACGCTAATTGTCGATCAGTCAATTATTGGCAAACGTTGAAAAGCAATGGGAATGATCCAGAAGCTAGGAAACTGGATCCCACATGTATTGAGAGAAAGAGCCATTGCGAAACGTTTAAGAATTTGTGAATTGCTGCTTCAAAGACAAAAACGGAAGTCGTTTTTACATCAAATTGTGACTGGCGATGAAAAATAGATTCGTTACGAAAATCCTAAGCGCAAGAAATCATTGGTAGGTCTCGGCGAACCATCAACATCAACGCCATATTCATGGAAAGCAAGTCATGCTGTGCATTTGGTGGGATCAAGTCGATGTAGTGAATCCATATGAGCTGCTGCAACCGAGTCAAACCATGAATGCTGAACCCTACCAACGACAATTAATCAATTTGAATCGAACACTCAAAGAAAAACGTCCGCAATACGCCAAAAGACATGACAAAATTATTTTTCTTCATAAGAATGCTAGATCACATGTTGCATCACCAGTGAAGGAAATCTTGAAGGCACTTGAATGGGATGTTTTACTCCAGCCGCCCTATTCACCAGACGTTGTATCTACAAATTACCATTTGTTTCGGTCGATACTGCATGACCTTTTTGAGCAGCATTTCATTTTTTCAATGATATCAAAAAATGGCTCGACAACTGGATCGCTTCGAAGGAAACTGAATTTGTTTGCCGCGGAATCCATATGTTACCCGAAAAGTGGGAGAAAGTTGTACTTTCCGATGAGCAAATCTTTAAATAAGATATAATATATCGTTCTTTTGAAATAAACATTGGTTTTTATAGCAAGAAACAGCGAAAATTAATTCAAGCACCTAATATTTCAAAAAGTATTGCAATAGTTGTAGATTGTAACGGATGCAATGGACAAACACCGGCTGCGTTGCAATATTCACTGCCAGTATTGAAACTCTATAGTATTTATGTTATGTAAACTATAGATTTATTATATTGGCAGTAAATTTTGTAATATGGCGTATTTGTTTCTGCATGTTTCTAATAAATCTAATTTCTGCTCATGTTTTTGAGATGCCATGTTACACTATATTGTTTTACCTTGAAAGCTACAATAGTCACAGTGGTAATATGACTACCATTTATGACGTTATTGATGAAATTCTGATAGATGCTGTCGCAGCATACTGCGCACTATAACAAAATAATTTTTCAATGTTGTTATTACAGTGCTTTTCAGAACACACCTATAGAGACAGATAACCTTCTTTATTCGTTTTTTAATAATCTTTTCCAAATACAAACACGCCTTCAGTTTCACCGGATGCATTTTTGTAGTAATTCCTTTCAGCCGATTTTATGTGACCGTTTGGCCGTTATTATCAATAATCTTTCGTCATCTTTCCGGTATTATTTTAATCTTATGCGAATAAAATGATTTATCTTTTGAGGTAAACTATTCATCGACTTATTTACACATTTTGTCAGCATTTCGGAACTGTGTATTAAATAGACTGTGCGGCATTGATTTGAATAGATGAAAATCAGATAAAACGAAAACTGAAAAGTATGCTGGATGGAACAGAACTTCCAAATCAAATGACGTCATTTATTAAGTCATTGCTACAATCATTTATTTATGACTTTACGAACTTTTGCAAGCACTTAATAGCTAAGCAGTAATTTGGCTTTTTTAATTAGCTGTAGCAGTGACTGTACAGCTATTAACCCTTTCGGTACATTTGACGAGTGAGACTCGTCATCTGCTTATTTGGGCATAAAATGTATTACTTTTACATATTAATCCATATAGCGACAAATTAAATCCGTCCCATGGGCATAAAAATCTTAAAATAATTCAGTACTCAAACGGTTAATAAAATAAACACTAAAATAACTATGGCTGCGTTTTGATTTTATTTATTATTTGTCATAATGCTTTTGCAGTTAAAAGTTTGGCGAAACATTTGTTGCAAATAATTGTTATTAAGATTGGCAGGATGTTATACTAGCTACATTTTTGTTGTTGTAGCGAATATGGTCAGATTGTGTTACTTGGGTAATCTGTAATCATTGATGATCTGTAATTGATGTAATCATTGACATTGAGTCGAAATTCATCATTGATGTAATCATTGACATTGAGTCGAAATTGAATCTTTTAAGCATCGAAAATTATTCAAATGTGTCAGAAATAAATTGAAATCGATGAAATCGATGAAATTTCAATCGATTTTCGATATATGTTTTTGATGTCGAATCGATATCAATTCGATAAGTTATTTCTCGTTGAAAATTTTCTTTGCCTAAACTAACTTCCCATACACATTGGCAAAGTTTATCGGTTTCATTGTGAAATATCTTATATACTATATAGTTATTATGTTGTGAGATAATTTTTAAATAGATATATAGATAAATAGAGACTGACAGATAATTCTATATCTGAATAGATAATAATTTGATATATAAAACTGAATAAATCAAATATTTGATTTTTTTTACAGTTGTACAACCACGTTCTGTGCGCTCCGCGCCGGATGAAGTCTTCCTTCATCGTCGTGAGAAACGTGTGCGTCGTTGCGCTTGCGATTGTGCATGTTAAATGATGCTGCCAACAGCCGCATCTGTTAGACGGATCGAGTCATCGAGTCCATGCAAGGCCTTAAAATGAAGAAAAATGGCCTTTAAAAGCACGTCACTAACATTATGATCAGAACTTGAATTCGCCGCGGTCTTAGCGAAAGAAATACTTGCGCATATTTTTGTCGACGTTGCAACCGCTGTGAGCGGCGATCGCACCGAATCCCCATAAACTAAAATAGATTATTATAGCAGGCTACAACGTTCGTGTAATTTCCCTTCAGGTTTCCCTAGATTCCAAAACTTTTAATGAAAACATGAAAATTCTCAGTTTCTCGTTAAAATAAGTTCGTTGCGAAAAAAAATTTAAAAAATAATGAAACATTGCACAAAGTCGATAATATTTTTATGTTTTACGCAGCAAAAAACAACTTAAAGGAAAACATTTATTAAGTCATTGCTACAATCATTTATTTATGATCTTACGAACTTTTGCAACAGGTAAGTACGCCCGCTAATTAGAGCGTACAGTTGACGATTACAATTGTATTGGCTCATTGAAAAATAACGTTTGGTTTTGCCAATAACACTGATCGACATTCTATAAGTTTCCTAAAAAAAGGAGAATGGTTTCCCGTAAATTTTTGGTCGCTGAAAACGATGCTGCTCTCAGAATTTGCCTTTCACGTTGTCGAGAAATATGGGATTGAAAACCTTAAAAAAACATGTTTTTGGCAATATTTGAAAATAAAACTATTTCGTAGCGGACAAACCTGAAATGTTAGAAACTTGTACGAGGTCTTAAATGAAAGTTAAAACATTATATTAGAGCCCAAATATATCCAATATTAAGAAACTATTTAGATGTGCCGCGCAGAAACGTGTGTTTTTAGTAGCATGCATGCGTAGGCCCACTCGTCACTGCATGCTAGGATGGAAGTAGGGAAACTTAATAGCAGAAAAAATTGTATATTTAGGTTCTAGAATAATGTTTATACTTTCATTTAAGGAGTTACATCACCTTGATAGCCTGGAAAAGATAGGTAATTTTTGGAATTTTCTTAGCCAAACAATAAAGTAAATGAAAAATCTGTTATAAGGCTTTTATTAAGTGACATTTTAAGAATAAAATAATATTTTTTAACTTCTCTTTAAGAAAAAAATGGCGACTGTGGAGACGTTGTACGGAAGATTGTTTGACGACGTCAGTCCAATTGGCGTTGCAAAGTTCTAGTACCCAGTATGACCTAGATACTAAAAATATACACGATACTAAAAGTGTTTATTATCTTCATAATATCTAAAGAAATACATTGGGGTTTTTCGAAATATTGATTTTTGCGAAAATGGTAAGAATTTGAAAAAAAGGTTCGCTTTGCGGCTAAAAATTTTCTGTTAAAAATGTCGATAAAAAAAGTATTTAATATATCGCAAAATCCCTATATACTTTTTCAGATTGTATCAGTTAGAAGATTCTATCAAAATTTGAAGTAAATTGGATAAGTAGTTTATAAGATCTTCACAACAATAACTTTAGAAAAGTGATTTCGAGAAAAACGCGTAAAGATTTGCTTTACAATATTTCGTGTTTAAAATGCAAAATATCACTTTTACTCTGAAATTCTTGCACTATACAGCCGTCCAAAGTTAGTATTCGCCTCTTTTTCTTCCTTTCGGTTTATTTATTTTAAGACGATCTCCGTTCGTCTTTGGCGACATCAAACATCAAGTGCTCAGCAGTTTTCACGCGTAGAGCGTTCGCATTGGCGCAAAAATTGTAACAATTATGGCCAATAGTCAGGTTTAACTTGCATAATTTCCATTATGCTCGTTCATCCATCATTAAAATAGCAATATCTGTTGCTATATTTAGGAAAATTTTATCGTTCGAAGATGTTTTTGGTGTTATTGGCCATACAACAGCATAAAAATTTTCGTTATTGTTTTACGTAAAACCTCCTAAACAGCGTGTTAATAAATCGTTGTTGCTCAAATTCTCATAAATAGGTTTCAAAGTATTGAAAACTTCTATACGCAGAGATGGTTTATGCGTATACACATCTAGTGTTCCAGAAATTTGTGCTCTCTGCCATGAACACCACGAATCTTCGCCAATCAGGCAGTAGTCATGTTACGATTTTTCATCTGTAGAAGTTTTATGGTATAACGTCGCCCAAATTTCTTTCTTCATTTTCTCCACAGAAACGTAATTTCGGCGAAGTTCGTAATATATTGTTAATTCGTTTATTAACTTTGCTGTAAATTCGCCCTTTCCGAGGCCTTTCGTTTTTCTTACAGCACGAAGTCATGTGTCCGTATCCTTTTGTACGTGGTCGATACATTCTTTCTTGGATACAATGATATCTGCGTAAGGCTGAACATGTACAATACATTTAAATGTCTTGCTGTCTCCGTCGCCAATATAATTACAATATTTCAAATTATGTAAAGTTTTGGAACGGGAAAACATCTCGACAACGACGTCTACCTCCATCTTGCCAACTGATCACTCATGATTTATTTAACATTCTTCATTATGGGGGTCATCCCGTGTGACGACTGTTTTTTAAGGTTTTTTTTTGCATTTTTTTGTGGCGAAATGAAAACATACAGAGCTTCCAAATTTTTACTATATATTTATTACATCTTAAACTATATGTGTAAATTTTTTTATTTAAAAATATGGCGTCGATGGCGAGTTACATCACTGGAACGGCACCCATGTAAAAAAAGCAGACAAACGGTGCCCACGATTCCGGCACACTGGTTTATCGGAAATCAAAAAATCAAATTGCATTTTAATCCATAGGTGAATGGCTATCGTGGGAACTAGGATTTTTTGAAAATATTAAAAATTCAATTTTTTGCATGCATTTAAAAATTATAACTCAAAATAGCATGATTTTTTGCGACTATTTTTTTATGCGGACAAAAACGGTTTAATATTTTTTAAAAATTCTAGTTCCCACGATAGCCACACATGTGCTGAATCTACCAATAAAATTTTATTTAAATCCATTGAACCGTTTTCGAAAAATCCTGGGCACCAGTTAAAAAATCCTTTGCCAAAATTACTTTGTCAGTATATTCTATACATGCTCTAGATTAGATTTATGAAAAAAAAAATCGATTTTTTGAAGCCGTTACACGGGATGACCCCCTTATGAGAATCAAACCATATTGCATACTCTGCAGTGCCTTCCTTACCCTTTTAAAACTTACAGGGTTTACAATACTTTGATTTTATAAATATATCTAAGATTTTGCCTATGTACCATCCCTTTAATAAAACTATCCTATATAACGATGAAAAACTCCTCTTTCTCCACGTTCCATCGCCAAACACTGTTATATCGTTAGTTTCCCCTTTTTCTATAGACTCGTTCTTCTCCTCGACAGTTGCCTTTTTCATGCATCTCTCACGAACAGCTGCTGTGGCGACGGAAATGGCTCGAACGGCTATGTCATAAAATAATTGAAGAATTGGATGTGACAAATCCATAATAGCACACAATTTCGTAATGTCTTGTAAACCAATGCTCAATAACCGCATAGCAAATACAATACGACAATTAATATCGTTTGCATGATTGTCAGAAAGGGGGTTAGCATTCATAAAACTTAGTTCACATTTTGTACAAACAACAACGATTTTAAATTCTAAGTCACGATGACTTATTTCTTGAAACTATATATTTGAGCCACACTTCTTGAACACTATTAGTTCGGATATAGCTGAGAATCAAACCATATTGCATATTGCTGAGAATACATTTATAAAGTTTAAAAAACGATATCCGAATGATGCGTCGACGCAGATATCATAATCGTCTTTACACATTTTCAACTTTTTTGCAGACGTGCTCATATCCTTAGTGACTTCCTCCAGAGAATATCTATTTAACGGTCATCTATTAGAGATTCTGGACTTGCTGACTCGTATACTACTTTGCTTGGCACCTTTTTTGTATTATACACAGGTTTAATGTCTCTTATGACTATATAAATACTTTAAAATATGACAACTTTTTACAAAACACGAATATATAACTGTTCTATAACAAAGCGTCCAAAGGACGTCATATACACAGCTGTACTGATGCCAACTGCATCATATGTAGCGAAAAAGATTGCTGCCATTTATTATTGTCATTTATAACTATATATCGAAGTATATATCTGTCGATACTGTTTCTTTTGCCTTTTCAAAGTTTAGCCGCGTTGAGCCTTTCTGAGCCGTTCGACGGCGCTGCGGCGCGCTCCACTAAACGGGCTTAAAACTCGTAAAAAAGAAATTGAATTCCATATTTAAACTATTAGAATCTAATTTTTAAGACTATCTTTAAGTCAAAAAATCGATTTGCTGAAGCCTTCAAGGTGGTGTAATCCCTTAAGATTTTGTACAAATTTCTAGCACGTCAGGTTTGTCTGCTATGATTTTTTCAAAAACTGCCAAAAATGCGTTTTTTAAGATTTTCAGCCTTATTTTTCTCGAAAACGTTACGTGATAGGCAAATTCTGAGGACAACATCATATTCAGCGATTAAAAATCTATGGGAAACTCTCCTTTTTCAAAAAACTTTTAGGATATTGACCAGTGTAATTGATTTCAAAGTAATTTGTTTCAGAATACTGAATCTTAGTCATCGACGCGGATCAAGAAAACTATTTAATAAACAACGTAAAGTGTTATAAACATATTACTAACATAAGTCATAAATTTTCGAGGAGATTAAACACGAGTGATATTTTTCAAACCGATACGTCGATTAAACTATTTCGTAGATGGAAAGAGTGGCAAGTGTAGTTGAAATCTGTTATCCTCTTCTGTACCGGAAACGTATTTCAAGAATCAGCAAACGAATATGGCTTGATTTTAACAGGTTATTAATTATTGTGTATTATTATTAAGCGTTTCTGTACAATAATTGTCCGTTCATATTTCGTTAATAATTATACATTTTTCCTCTTTTGCTTCCTATCCTTTTCGTAATGATAGAGAGGATCACCCTACGTAAAAGTGGATCTAAGCTTATCGAAAATACAGTATGTTTTTATTTTAATTAATCCAATTGATTATTTACGGATATATTTCTGTGAACTGTGTTTGTGCTTCTTCGGGGAAATTAATTTAAGCTTCGATTATTTTATTGATTTACGTTCTCTATGTATTCTACGTGTTTCCTTTTTCCTTTTTATCATGACAAATAATAAAGTGATACGATATTCGTTAGATTCAATTCTGCTACACCTGCTAATAAATTTGAACATGCGATCCATCGCTCCGTTCTATGTTAATAAACCTGAAGATATAAAACATGAAGAATTACAAAAAATAAATTTGTCGCACTAAAATAAGATAGGAAAAGTTGATTCTTTTTTATATATGTTCTTTTCTGTTTGTCAGAGTCAATTTAGATCATTATAGCTCATTGACTTTATTGTTATCTTTCGATTTTTTACAGACTCTGAATTTAATGAATTTAATGCAACACGCAAATTAACTAACTACAAAAAACTGAGGACTTTCGACATTTGGGAATATGGAAGAATATTAAGAGTCAAGTAGACAAATAGAATAACAAACAAAAAGTATTTTTGGACGAATGAATAAGGAACTAGAGATGTTGGAGAACATCAAAATTTATGAACTTGCTTGAGTTTTATGAGAAACTTCATGTATCAGCTACTTCATTTGATAATACAAAGTAAAATAAATGGATAAAAAAAAATCAAGAAGAAAAATATTATGGTTGAAGAATCTGAGACAATGGTCTCCGACTTGTCTGATTTCAGATATCACTAGGTTAAATATTCACCAGGTATAGATATTTTATCCTTATGTTACTAGATGTAAGTAGGTGCGCATATGTATATTCGCGCACGTTAAATATTATAATTAAAATTATAACGCCAAAGAAGCGACGTGTCGTTAGAGAGTCTTAAAATCGATGGATCAACTATAGACAAGAGAAACCGTAATCTCAATGCGATAAGGCACCCCGCTGCTAACATAAATAGGAACATGAAACCTAAACCCAAATACCACTCAGGACCGACGCGGCGATATCGACGCGGTGACATCATACCGATGGAATGAATTTCTTCCATCTCCACAACTCCATCAGCCAACCAGAAAACGACTCTCAGCGACAAAGCAACGTATAAAAACGCGCGCATTCGTTGAGAAGGCGATTCTTTTCTCGTAAATAGCTTTTGGTACTTGTGTACTTATATACTTTGGAATATATTAGTCATAAAATTCGACTGTGTAGCAATTATTTTTGTCTACCCCTCATTTCTCGAATGTTGCTAAATCGAAATTGGAATCGCGGACCGCATCATCCCGCGTAGCGCCGGAACATCCGAGACCGAGCCAGGAGAACGAGCGGCTCTGATTTCTTACCAGATTCATCGATCGTTTCGCCAGACTCCGGAGACCCAAGGTAAACTCGGTGAAAAGCAGAGTGACCTAAAAGCGGAGTCATCACTCTGTTGACCGTTCTCGTAAGTCACTGATTTTACTACTTTCAAATTTCCCTATATAGTTATCTATCGTGGACGTACAGCAACTATCTCTTTCTAATATTTGACGACTCTTCGGCCGAATGCGCAGTCTAGTTATTATATGTCTATGGGTAATATGCTATATTGATAAATAGGACTTCGTGTGTATAGTCCGTCACAGAGCAGTTATAACCATAGAGATATAAGAATAGAGGGAACAAGGGATATATGCTACCTGTATGTGGAAGTGATAGAGNCCTAACCCGAGCAGCACGTAAACGTTCGCTTTACGTTCACTTGGTTTGGTTATATTCAAACACATTTACCACAAAGTGGGAACGTTCGAAGACATAGATTTTAGAACCTTTAATATATATCTTACATAGCAAAAGTGTCGCAGTATCACAATTATGCTGTTCTATTACAATTCCATCTTTTAATTAAAATATATACATCTTGAAGATGAAGATATTAATATATTAATATCTTTTAGCAATTAATATATTTTTTAAATAATTTGTTATAAATAGACATAATCCAACTTCAAGATGTATATATTTTAATAACTCTTTCCATATGTTCGGCCTACCGCTTCTCGTACGCCCATTAGCTCAGATAGAATAATTAATTCCTCGTTAACTATTGAGAATTTTGTATAATGGTGTCTACTTTTTCTATTAAGTTAATCTCTTCTAATTGCGATATACATATATATGTATATATATATGTATTTTTACTTTTATATATTTTACTTTTAATTTGATAGAAAAGATAGACACTATTATGCAATGTAATTTTGACAGCTGTCTGACTACTTACTGCACATGTTCGTAAATCATAGGTTTGTTTTGTCATATTTTTTGTGTGTTTTCCGACATGTAAACAAACTTGCAACCGTCCCGTGACCGATTGTACTTCACTTATGGAAAATAAATCATGTTTGAGAATATTGTTTTAGGTATGACTGAGTCTTGGAGGAAGACATGCAAATACAAAACTTTGGAAAACAGCAATATAATGGTGATGTATTTATTTTATAAAAACATGTAAACTACATCGCGTGAATATAGAGGAATCGAATTTAAATTATACATCGCCCCAAAGTAAATTGTCCTGTAGAGTATACACACGATAATATACACAATGGTAGCGGTGGTATTGTATTGTTGTTGATGATGATGACAACAATGACGGTGGTGGTAATTATGATTAAGATGACGATGAAAAGTAACATGGCTCGGTTCTAGCTCACTGTAGCTCTCAATCCCCATTGTTATACGCTTGTACAAATAATTACGTCCATATATGTACATGGTGTGTAGTCGCACAATGACATTGCTCACTCTCTTCGTTGTCTTTCGCGCTCGCGAGCTAATTCTGCGGCATAATCGTACGGTGAGCCTCTCCTGAAAAATTAAAATTATCTTTTTTAATCCTTATATATATATAAAGCACATATCGAATGGCTAAAATTTGAAATTTTAAGCAGAGATTTTTCGAATGTCAATGTCAGCAGCAAATTTCTGATTATTATTATGTTAAGTATCTAGGACCGTTGATCGACAGCCAACGGTCAGTTTTTTCTCATTTTTCACCTGTCTCGATGCCGATCTCTATCGCGATGACGGTCTCTGCTCCGATCTCTATGTAACCTATCCCTACTGCGACTTCTGTAATCCCTCTGCCTTCTACTTCTGTCACGACTACTGGATCTTCGACAGTGCCTGTCTCTCTCTCTTTCCCGTTCACGAGCTTTCTCCCGATCGCGTTCTCTCTGCCTCTCTCGCTCCCGATCACGTTCTCTGTGCTTGTCTTTACGATCCTCGTCGGACCTAGAAAAAAACACGTTCGAACGGAAGTATGACATCGGTTGTCTCGACTCAGCGAGGCTCGACCTATGCTCGCACTAGCGTAAAGATTGATCATCCTCTCGCCAAGTCGGTAAACATATTACTAGAGCCTGCATTCTGGACAAAGCCATCGCAATTGTTAGAAAACATTGAATGAAAATAGATGAATGATAAATCGCAACAAAATGTATTAATAACGTGATCGTTGTATTCGTACCACGTGGACGCACCTGGCACGCCAGTGGCTCGTACGCTCCGCCTCGCCCCACTGAGCCTCGCTGTCAGGAATGTGTCGGGGCTGTTGTTGCTGCTGCTGCTGTTGTTGCTGCTGTTGATTGCGCGTTGTTGTCATGTTGCCGTTATCCTTACGCCCACCAACACCCCCTACGCTATTGCCATACTTGCCGTGCGAGCTATTAAGCGTAATCGGCGGCTTAGCATTACGCGCGTTCACCGTCTGCTGCGGAAAACGCTCTGCTAGCCGTAGCTCTAAATCCTTTTGGATTGGCACAGGTATACGTGGAAACAATGTGGAGAACCACTCGAGTTTAGTAAGGAACTGCTTGAGGATATCACCCATCTTCATGGTTTGTCCGCCGCCAGCTTTCACGTCTAACTCTTCCTCGTCATCCAGGTAGTCGCTGTACCAGCTGAACAAGTCTGCCGGCGGCTGTGTATATCTATTGTAATATGAATAGTTTGTTTCAATTCAAACAAATCAAATGTCACGAAAACCACTTATAAGAAGATGATCTCGAAATCGATCTCCGGATGAATCATAGCTCGTCGTTCGATAGTTTGTATGTAGAACATAAAAACTGGGCCTTTTATAACTTCAATTAACCAAATGACCAATTGCATTGATCAGTTTAATTAATTGGCTAATGTGATTGGTTAATTCCTTTGAATTAATCAGTCAGCTAAGTTAACCGGAGGTGGTGCAAATGACCTTAAAATTTAAAAACTCTAAAAGAGTTTGAGTGAATGGGCCTTTGTTTACGAGAAATTACAATGTAAAGTTGGGCTCACAGAATTATGACATAGATAAGACCAAATTTGATAATCTTTGTCACCAAAGCAGCATAACTAAGAGGATTAAGGCTCTGATGCTTTTTGCACCAGCGGTAAACGTTTCAGTCCCACTAACGTCTTCTTTGCTTGATGCCTGTTTTTTCATACTCGAAGCCTTTTAGGGTTTTTGTGCTCTATATACAAGTTACCGAATGAGCTATGATTCGTCCCGAAATCGATTTCAAGGTTCGCATTATCTTCTTGTTACATGCGCACACCGAAGCAAAGGAAAGATATTTGTATCCTTTAGTCAATATTAACCCTTTGCACTCCGGGCCTTTTTCGCGCGGCGCACCAGCAACTCCAGACGTGGTGAGTGAGAGTTACCACTGGAGTGCAAAGGGTTAATTACATCTGATCACAATTATGCTGCTCTGTTACAATTGTGACCAGATGTACTTGTGATCCGTAATTGATACGATATAAAATGTCCCATGATAGGATGTTGCGATCTTAATTTTAACGACAGGTTCTCTCTGACCAAGTCAAATTTTTCTTCAAACATAAATATGAAATAATTACCAAGTTACGAGCTAACAGTAGGGATTCACGTTAATTGAACTTGCAACGATCCGAATTGAGCGATATTTCCCTTTGTTGTTTCAGTATTAATTTATTTCAAAAAGGATGACAAAGACTACTTTCATCCACAATCAATCATCCACTGTAACAAACTCACCTAATGTACATAAATCCCAAGGCGCGGATATATGGCGAGTCTGGATGATTAATGAGACCGTTCAATTGCTTCCTAGTTAGCCTCAGTGTAAAGAGTTTGTACAGCAGGCAATAAGCCGTGGAAACAATGCCGCCTGCGCCTACGCCTCGCACCTGCATGAACCGCTAAATTTACACCCCCCTCAGTCAGTTAAGTCACATTCGTGTTATAGTACAATATATGGACCGAATACATGCTACTCTGCAATAAGTAAGATGGTGATTGTGTTAAGTGAAAAAAAGGAAGCAAGTGAGCAAGAGTAAAAGAGACAGACTCTGCTCGCCATTGGTGCCCTAAAATACCCGACCACAATGATAATATCTCAGCACATTGTGTGTGTGTGTGTGTGTGTGTGTGTTAGAGCTTTGCGGAGTTCTAAATCCATTGTCGATTTGGATGTTATGTAGTAGAATGCTGCCGACTCCATGTGTTTCGCAAATATGAGTAAATTTTTAGATGACACTATATTTGATAGTCCTTAATCCAATATACTAAATCATTCACTTTTGAATAAATTTCTTTTAATTTTTATAGCTACAAGGAAAGATATTAATTACGAATTATTTATGTGTATGAGAAGCAAAGTAATGTTTTACATTCGAAATACATCTCTTTCTAATGCTTGAACAATTATAATTAATGGAACAAAAAGAAAGAAGAAAAATGGTTGACAAAAGTGAATGACCCAAGAATCGAGGATCGATTTGACACCAAACGTCAAACTTGTCCAAAATGATATCACCATGTCTATTTGTCAGGATAATATTTATCCAGGCTAGTGATCAGACTTTGTGATCATATTCTGTGCAAACATGACATCTGTATCACATATAGGTACTGTGTATCTCTCATGCACCTTATGTTTCTAACAAACTCATTAATTATAAAAAAATAAGGGAAAAAAAAGGGAAACAAAAAATAAATAAGAAGAAGACTAAAGAAAAAACCATTGGATGTTGTTTCTCTGAGAAAACATACTCACGCCTCCACACATGCCAGTCTGACCCGCAGTCTTCCTGCTACCTTTCTCCCAGGGCTCCAGATGTGATACCTTGTAGTAGATCTCATCGATTACCTCATGGTAGGTCTTAAGCTCATATAGATTCACCTTGAAATAGTGTGATGACTGTATATTGGTCAATATCAAGGGATTCAAATTCATAGTCCTTTCATTGCCCCAAAGTGGTAACACGTTTGACTTTTTACCCTCCTTTTGAGGTGGCCTGCGATCTTCCTCACAGCCACTTGAATTATTCCATGGTGAGCCTGAAACAAAAATTCACACATGAATTAATATAGTACTAAAACAAATATTTTTACGTACAGAGAAACAAATAGCTGTCATTAGAAATAATAAATAGCTTGTAATTAAATATAGTGCAAAAATAAATATACTTTGTGAAGTGACATATAGATCAGTAAACTTCGTGTGATTCAAAATGAATGTTGCTCAAAACATTAATCTTTACAATACATCTCAAGGTTATCCTATTTTCATCATTCATAAGTTTTTGAAAATAATTACTCTCATAGTTCCAGTTAACTTGTTCGCATAAAAATGAAATCACATAAATTCTTTTCTAAGGTTGCTTAAGATAGTCAGCAAACTTTAAGAAAATCAAAGGTGGACTTTTTCGAAACTAAAGGAGAATTTATCAACTACAAGGTAGAAAGTGTCTTAATTATATATTTCACAACTATGTATTTCACAGTTTAATTAAAACCGACAGAATAAAGATAAAAAAATTGTATTGATATGGATATTGAGGTTACGTCATTCGAGAGAAGGAAATTAGTAATTAACGATTTTGCAGTGACTAGTCAATGGAGCCTATAATCGAAAACCAAACATTGTCGGCACATGAACAACGTAAATGCATGTTCACTCACCATCGGCAGCCTCGGCATCTTGCATTTGCATTTTTAGATAATCTGTCGAAGAGACTCGTGTCGAGTCTCTATATCCGTCGCGTCGTCGAATAAATACTCGACTCTTTTAAGATTTCTATAGTAAGTGAAGTATAACTAGAATAAGTAGGCTTTCCAAAAAAAATTGTAAAACCGACAACACGTGATGAACAAAAAAAGAAAAACTGTAATATGTTCTGTTACATACGACAAATGACCACATATACGTCTATATTCGGAAGGAAAACCGTATGTACAGTTATTTTTCGGTGCATTTCGGAATGCAATAACTATCATAAGGTGCGTTCCACATAACAATCGCAATGTCGCAATCATCCGTTCAACGTGGTCTACAATGGGCAGTAAAACCCGTATCAGACTATGATTGCGGATTGAGATTGTAATGAATTTGACCAATTAGTACAAAGTTAACTGAATTCAAGTTTAGTGAACTTTAGTAAACTTTGCACTGATTGGTCAAATTTCAATTCAATCGCAATCTCAAATCCGTAGTCTGATACAAGCTGTAGGAATATGTTTATAAGAAGTTAGAGTAAGAAATTAACAAATCATAATCGATTATTCTTCTTACATTCAAATATGATTGGTCACTTTCATACTCATACTTCTTATAAACCTACTTCTATTGCCTATTATAGAACACAATTTTCATTAATGTGAGTGTGACAAAACGAGTTATGAATGGATGTCATAAATATGGCGCGGTTTATAATAGTGCCCATCGTGCAAATGTTGAAGAATTATTTCAGCGAAAGCGATTCCAGTTCTGCAGAAGAGGTTTTATGAATATAAATAACTACATACTAATAGTATATTATGTAGTGAATTATATCACTATAATTAATGTTTATAATAACAAGATAAGTAGAAATTCATATTCATGTAGTGAGATTGTTGTTTTATCAATTTATTATACATTTCTTGCAGATCTATAGACATGATCAATGAGTTTGATGTAGACAATCCAAAGGCAGTAGCAAGTATAATAATAATAATAATAATAATAATAATAAAGAAACTGTTTTAATCCGTAAATACTTATATCTATCTGTTTTTATTTTCTAAAATCCAAGATTTCCTTCAGCAGTCGAATATCATACATTTTCTCACTTCCTAGGTTGTATAATATTATTTGTTCCATAGTTCCATAGTTTTTATTAAAGTTTTGATAAGAAACATGTAATATTTGCGGTATCTTGTGTTTAGTAAAACCAATATGGCCGTCTGATGATGTCAACGTTCATGCCATAGACGTATAATAACCATAGAGTTAGTATATAAATAGAGTGCCAGAGTGAGAGCAAAACCTGTCCCGTGCATGAAAAGAGATAGAAACCCGATGGACTCCTCTGTCTCCCTCTAATTAGTGACGTCAGTTAGTGACGTCAGCAAATTGGTTCGAGCGTGCGCGGCGGCAGAGTGTACGCGGCGTCTGCTTTTCTAACCAACCACATGTTAATTAAGAAACCAAAAAATAATAAGAATCCGATTATTTGTGTTCCTAGGCAAAACTGTAAACATAAATAATATAAATACGTTACATACAAATAAAAACTAATATAAACGTAAACCATCAACATAAGCTCCAACGGTGGATGATGATTATACGAGGTCTGTTCAAAAAGTATCGCGAATTTTGAATTTCCGCGGGTTACGTATATTCGATTTTCGACTTTTTTGTGGCGTTATGTTGGTACTCATGTCCCTCACTTATGCCGACAAGTTCGGCCATTTTGAATATTCAGTTTATCTTTGACAGCTGTTTTGCTTGGACGTGTTTTGGCTCGTCTTCGATTTTTGCCTATTCCAAAAAATGGATCAAAGAATCTGTATCAAATTTTGTGTGAAAAACAAAATTAAGTGCGCGGACGCATTCCGAATGTTGACTGTGGCATATGGTGAAGCTACCTTGGACCGAAGCAACGTTTATCGGTGGTACAAAATGTTCTCAGAGGGCCGAGAAGATGTGAACGACGAAGAGCGTGCCGGACGCCCGAGCACGTCAACAACAGACGAAAACATTGATGAAGTGAAGAAAATAGTATTGGCCAATCGTCGAATCACCGTTAGAGAAGTTGCTGAGGACTAAACATATCGATTGTCTCGTGCCATTCGATTTTTACTAATGATTTGGGCATGAGACGGGTCGCCGCGAAATTCGTACCAACGCCCCTGCTCACACATCGTTGCTTGTGCGCGAATTTTTGGCCAAAAACAACACACTAATGATGCCGCAGCCACTGTATTCCCCAGACTTGGCCCCCTGTGACTTTTTCTTGTTCCCGAAACTGAAGAGGCACATGAAAGGACGACGCTACGCTACGATTGAGGAGATAAAGACGGCATCGAAGGAAGAGCTGAACAAGATCACAAAAAATGATTTTTTGAAGTGCTTTGAGGATTGGAAAAAACGTTGGCACAAGTGTATAATATCTGATGGGGATTACTTTGAAGGAGACAAAATAGATATTCATGAATAAATAAATAAGTTTTGAAAAAACACAAAATTTGCAATACTTTTTGAACAGACCTCATATATATTTTTTGTATACATGATATATGCCTATCATGTATATTTAATTCATATGAAGTATTTATATGCATATACAGGGGGTCCCATTTTAGTTTTGACAGTCAAATATCTTAAAAAATATGGGAGATTCGAAAAAATGTTTCAGATAAAAGTTATACGGTCCCAAGGAGGTCATCATGATAAAATTAATTAAAGAAAACAATTTTTTAAGCTCATATAAAGGTCATCGCCACTTTTTTAACACATTGTTGACCGGTCACGAGTTAACTCGTGTCTTCCTGCTCAAACGTTGCTGACCGGCCACGAGTAAACTCGTGATCGATGCAAGATATATTTGCGCGATCGAAACAAGATACATTTGCAAAACTTGTTGTGTACCATCACACGTAGGCGATTGCTACACTGTTTATCATACCAAAAAGAAATATTAAAAGTTAAATATTAAATAAAATTTATTGAAGTTTATTTATATTGTTTCACTTCCACATACAATTACGAAATAATAGCCGATGACATGAGATAAATTCTAAGTAAAATTGCCGGTCTACAATGTGTCAAAAAAGGAACTTTGGTTTAAAATTACTAGGAATACTAGGAACTTTGGTTTAAAATTGATTTTTAAATAAAAATGTTATGATAATTATTAAAAAACAATTTTTTTAATAATACCTGAAATTCATCCTATTTTACAATTTTTAAAAAATTTGTAAAAATTTATTTTCAAGTAAAAAAAGTTATGATAATTATTAAAAAATATAATTTTTTTTTCAATAATACTTAAAATGCGTCCTATTTTACAATTTCTGAAAGTTTGATAAACATTGCTTCATCAATAAAAATGTTACGACGATTTTAGTAACGTGCAAGTTTGCCCAAAAACGTGCGGTCCCAGGCGTATGTCTTACAGATTTCTTAGCGGTCCGCAATGTGTTAAATGGAATATGATCTTTTTTCTTAAAAAATCTGAAAGAGCTTTTAATTTTATATAGAAAAATTTTAGGATAACTTTACCCTAAATTTATTATGTAAGGAGATATTTCATGAAAAAAAAAAATCTTTTATTGAATGGTGTATACATGCGTAGTTCTCTTCTTAGTTAGATCTAGGATCACTGATGAATACATAGGGGAATAACCGTTAAAATCTTAGTTTAACAGTTGTTCAGTTCCTTTCGTATATAACATTTCCCAAATAACAAGATGACGTCAAATTTGCAAAGCTACATTAAAATTATAGTTTATCATAAATCCACGAACGACTAAAGATGATATGAAAAGAAGAATAAAAGATGCTTGCCGTAGTGTTCTACGCAATATTTTATTGCCATTAAAAGAACATTTTCATTGGAGAATTAGGTTATGTCATGAAGTTAACGGTGCCAATATTGAACATCTTTTAAACTAAGATTATTACAAACACCAGAGAGAGTTTGGTATCTTAAAATACTATGGAAATGACAAACCACAGGGTCATGATCTCTGTGTGTGCGCGCGCGCAAGACGATTGTTCCTATACGTCTTTGTCCATGGTCTTAGATTTAGCCTAAAAGGGGAACTACGTACGTATACACTGCTCAATAGAGTTTTGGTTTTTTTTTTTTTCATAAAATATCTCCTTACATCATGAGTTTAGGCTAAATGTATCCTAACACTTTTTTACATAAAATTAAATGTTCTGTAGGATTCTGTAGGATTTTTTAATAAAAAATACCACATTCTATTAAAAAATATCGATAACCTTCATATGATCTTGAAAAATTATTATTTTTAAATTAATTTTATTATTACTTGTCCCCTTTGTGACCGTATAACTTTTGTCTGAAATATTTTTCTGTATCTCCCATATTTTTGAGATATTGATTGTCAAAAATAAAATGGGACACCCTGTATAAGATATTTGTACATCATGGAGCATATATGTATATATAAGAAATATTTAATATTATGTAGAATACTACTCGCGATATTCTTAAATTTTTCTTTATTCTTATTGCATAATACATTTTTGCAATAGTCAATTCAAATAAATGCGTAGATTTATCTATGTATTCAGATGGAGTTACAACGAATCCGTACAAGTGAATGTTTACAGTTACGTAAATTGGCTCCTGACGCCACTCTAATCCTTACACGGTGTACATACGTACTCCTCTTTCATCAGCGCGGTAGGTGTGACCGCCTACTATGTGGATATATGCCTCATTTCCAGTTCTTTCCAGTTATCCGCGTGACAGCGTCGATATTGGATGTTTATGGTTGTTGCCGTGATTCATATTCGAGTTTTTTCTCGAAAATTACAAATCCGATACATAAGAATTTTAGAATAATTTCACTGTAATAGGCAAATGCAAGAAAATGTTCAAGATTGGTATTGCTGAACAACACCAATTTTTAATGTGAAACAAATTATCATGATAATTATTAACAATCGACATTAGTCATACGAAAGTTGCCAAACAACTCTCGTGGACAAGTAACATAAATATTTTTGGTTTAGAATAGTAATCTAGTCAAAACTACAGGAAAACGTTTGTTGATAACTAAGATTTCATTGTATAGTTTTATAGAATAGAGAATCAAATATTAAGAACAATTATCTGAAAATTGTTCATCTAATTGCTTGAAGTGTTATACAGTGCGTCGAATGTTAAAAAGTGCAGCGAGTAATAGTACGTATTGAATCGTTCTTATTCGGTGGTCAATGACAAAAATC